GGTTACAACTACCAGTATGCCAAACTTACCCACTTATATCTGGAACTGGGGGTATCCCCCATGTTCAGCTCATTGCAGCCCCAAAATAGATAGAACTGTTGGAAACCTGAACCTTATGAAGTAAATTCACACGCCTGCCAGCTTTTCAATATGTTTGCAACAACAGGGGGTACCCAAAATGGTCGTCCAAGTTCTCCGTCGGTTTTCATGGGGAAATCAATGGTTTGGTCTTTCAAATCCAACATCCCATAGGAATTTCCCCGGTAAATCCCTGCCAATATATCCCCACTGATACTACCATTTGAACTAAGTTTACCAGCCCATATTATACCGTATCATTGTATCTCCAGTAATGTTGGCTGCATATCCCTAGCATTGTATCTCCATGAAATGGTTTTGGATGAAAACCCACAATCTCCTTGTAAACACAACTAACATACCAGTTTTATATATGTTTATGTTTTCCGTAGGTTTTGACCCATCCCCAGATGGGAATGAGTCAATTTTTTGAAGGCCCAACAAACTACAGATTCTCTTCATTTTTAGGACTAAACACTCATTTTTTCCGGTGTAATTATGCAAGCTTGACCTATCCCCATACCATTTCTGCCTCAGCATCCTGAGCTCCAAACGTAGCTCCATGTCGGTAGCTTGAAGACCTTCTGCACGGCCACAGGACTCACTTCTTTCAACCTGAGCCGTGCGGTTCAGCGTGGGAAACCGAAAGGGAAACTCAAACGCCAATGTTCCTATCATCGCCGGGATTGGTGTTTTTTGAACCACCAAAGGGCATCAAAATATATGGAAATTTAGTCGGAATAAAAATGACTAGTCACATAATTAGTCATAACTTTCATAAGAATGTAATGATAATGATGAAAATGATACATAAATATAATAATAATAGTAATAAATAATAAACAACAATAATAAAATGATAAATGATGATAGTAATAATAATAAATAAATAAATAAATAAATAAGTAATAAATAATAATAATAATAAATAATAATATAAAATAATAGTAACAATAATAATAAACAATAATAATCAATAATAATAAATAATAGATTATGTATCTGAATCAGAAATAGCAATCATTATCTCATAATCTCGCAACGATCTCATGTTTTTTTCCAAGTCAAACACCCGATCCACAGCGCCAAGTCGCCACTGTTCCAGTTTCCCACTTGGCATTTTCACAAAGTCCTTGCTCTGCACATGCCTCGGGGTCGTTTTCTTAGCTGACTTCCCCGAAAACAACAGCCAAAACAGGGTAAAACTGGTTTTCTCAGAGATGAGGTTTTTTTTATGAGAAGCAGGCCCCATCCCGAAAACATATGGCAGTCACCTGTCAGACTCCCAGGGATAGTGATGTCTGATGGCCGTAGTTTAAAACTCAACCAGATTTGGAGGTGATGTTCAAAATTTCCTAGCTTGGGCATCTACCTACCGTCTGGCAATTTAATGTAGCCATGGAAAGTTACTTGGAATCTAAGTCTTAGATTATTTACCAATGAAAAACATTGCCATTTTCCATGACGAAAAGCTTGACGATGCTAGCTAGGTATATCCCCAGATCCAGATCCAGATATCCCCACGACTTCCGGACATTTGGTTGGTTAAACCATGCTAAACCCCATCAAACCATATATAAAACCCGAAAAAAAAGCAGGGGTTGACCATGCCCAACCAGCGAAATGAGGATCCGACAGGCTGGCGCCCTCGGAAGTCTGGGCTTCACCCGCCTGGGCAAAAGAGATGGGTCCTTGGGACCACCAAAAATGTTCTACCCTCTGGTAAACGTTTACATAGCTATTGAAAATGGTGATTTATAGTGGATTTTCCCATTCAAAATGGTGATTCCCCATAGTTATGTTAGTATACCTGAGGGTATCTATAAGAAAAAACAGTTCTAAATCTCTAACTGTGAAAGGCATTTTATCACCATACCAGTTTTTTGGGTTTATCACCATGGATGGATTGAAATCTCTGTAGCTTGGGCAACCTAACCCCACAGCTTCGCAATGTCATTCCAACCCATCCTGGTTGGTTCATAGGCTTTCTTATTTCATTGGTAGATAAGGATCCCCAAATTTGAGATAAAGGATATTGAAGGAAAGTATGACTATGATCCCCATAACCAATCAACCATTATTTATCACCATTTATCAATGATATTCCCCATATTCAGTGCTTAAAACATGTCTGCCCCAACCCGGACGTTGCTCCACACTTTCAATCGTCATGATCATCATCATCATCATCGTCGTCGTCGTCGTCATCATCGTCATCATCGTCATCATCGTCATCATCGTCATCATCGTCATCATCGTCATCATCGTCATAATCATCATCATCATCATCATCGTCATCATCGTCATCATCGCATTAAAATTTGCCACCCCCTCTGAACAATATGTTGACTGGGGTAATGACATCAACTTGATCTTCATAAGGGATCAAAATTCGCCACCCCCTATGAACAATATGTTGATTGGAGCAATCGGTTTCATCAACACTCCATCCCTCCCTCCCAGCAATGTTTTCTCACCTATAGGGCTGCCGGTGAATTTGAAACACTGCGCTTTTGTTACCCACATCTTTACATGGGTATCACCCCCCAAATCTGAGTTTGGGTGTCTGAAGATTGGGTTCCATGTGAACCCCCAATCTCTCTGCGCAGTAGGGAAAAGCAATGCTTGGGATGGGTGGGTTTCAAATTCCTGGTGGGTTGTGTGTGGATGCTTGAGCGCAAAATGGCTACAGCAACCACACTGACCCACCCATCCACCCAAGTGATTCAACCTCATTGCTACAATCACAACACGTTGTTCAACCCAGCAATCGATTTCATCAACACTCCATCCCTCCCTCCCAGCAATGTTTTCTCACCTATAGGGCTGCCGGTGAATTTGAAACACTGCGCTTTTGTTACCCACATCTTTACATGGGTATCACCCCCCAAATCTGAGTTTGGGTGTCTGAAGATTGGGTTCCATGTGAACCCCCAATCTCTCTGCAGCTAATCTTCAGAGCTGCTACTGGAGGAGGATGAGGAGTGGTCAGAATCACTTGGGAAGCATCTAGGGCACAATCTAAGGTCAGTCTGTTCTGAGACTGACCTGGACGTAGTGGCGTGTGCCTTTGAAGAAAAGTTCCATCCGCAAAGAGTTTTCCATGTTGCAGGTGGCGTAGACAGATCCACTATGGACCTGCGTCTCACTTTGGATTGTCCATTGTCGACCATCCAGTTTTCTACTCCAGACTTCGTGCCAAATGTCAGCTCAACGCCTTCCAGGATTTGAGAGGTGTCTTCCATCTGGATTGCAAGGTTGTTCAGCTGGGATTCCAACTGATTAACTTTGTCCTTGGACTGTTTTAATTCTGCCATCATGTCTTGCACGTAGACCAGTTGGTCGGCTTCCCTAAAGGCTGGCGAATTGTCAGCAAATACCCATTTGTCCAGTTTCTTGTCTGAGAGTCCATGACGCAAGCGGTCCGCAAACCCGTCCAGTGGCGACTCTGCCAGGTATGACAGGATAGCGTTGCTGCCCCATCTACCCAGCAATTGTATCGTGATACAGTCAAGACCTGACCTGGCCAATAGTCTGGCCCCAGTGATGCGAAATGCATGACCACTGTACGCTGAAGTTCCATCGCCTTTCGTAGCATTTCCTCCAGATTGATCTACTGCAGCTCTCAGTGTGTTAACCACGCCTTGCTTTGTGCAGTATCCCCCCAGAGTAGTTGGGAACAACGGTTTGTCTACCGGTCTCATGCCCAGATTGCAATAGAAGCTGTTCACTTCCACCATGTGCTGTTTCAGGGTATGATAAACACAAGGCAGTTGGGTGTCGCAAACACATGCCCACGACCTGGAGCATCCCTTTGCCTGCCAGTCTGTCTTCGACACTGGCAAATGGAGTGTTACTTTGGCGTCATCAAAGACGACGTCCTCCAGGTCTATGGCCGAAGCTTCCAGTTCTCTCAACAGGAAGAGAGTTGCGGTCACAAACATAGCTTTCGGATGAGCTGGCCCACATTCGTCCAGGGCATAGGATCCATGAGGGAGATGGGACGATATCCTGACTAAGTCAAAGTCCATTGACCTCGTGGATCCAGCTAATCCTCTCAGGACCGACCTGGAACATTTTCTGGCCACGGCATCCAGTTTGTCAGACCACTCAAAGCCCAGGGAGATGTGATGATCTTTTGCTCGAGAAAGATAATTCTTGAACGACTTGTACCCTCCCAATTTGAAAAGTGCCGAAACTCTGACCAAACTCTGCTCCGACAGTGGCCAAACAGGGACCTGATCACCATACCAAGTGGCATGATATCTTTCCCACGTTTTCAATTGAGAAGTTCTAGGTGCTTGACTTGAAGAGGCATAAAAGTCATTGACTAACGCGTCCAGTGCATCACGTCTACCTGTTCCAGTGGAGATCTTTTCTTGCGCAGTGGCCATGGCTGCCCTGTCTATCTTTCTAACAACAGGCATGTCATGACGCTTTCTCTTTTCCTGGGTTCCACTATGATCGAGGGTCGATGGCCGCTTGGCTGGGTGCCCTGCCGACCAAGAGCCAGCAGAAATGTTGCGCCCAGCCTTTTGTTCTACAGCCCTTTGGCCTGCTGAGGAACTATTGACCTTCCTCAGCCAACCCTCGATGTCATCTGATGGCAGCTGAAAGGGTGTGCTGCCTTTCTTCTTACCCCAGGATGGTTTTGAAAGCATTTTGAGCTTAAAATTGTTTTGCGATTTAAATGAATGAATCAAGTGATACCCAAGAGGTATCAACCAAGGTTCATCAAGTGCACAACGAAAACCTAAACCTATGACCTCACGCACATCCAACTGAACCCTCAAATCACGACATCACAAGAAGCAAACAAGGAATGAAACAAAATGCAGTGCAGTGTCAAATCAGTCGACACAGAAAAGCAGTGCAGCATCAAACCAGTCAACTCTTTCTATCTTTTATGCAGCAGAGGGTCACTAGCGTCTTGGGGAACGAGATCTGATTCCCTTTGAGTCTGCCAATGGCGGTGCCGATGAAGAGCTCGGAACGGTGACCTGTAAACTTCTCCACCAGGTTTTGTCTCGAGTAGGTGGAACAATTGGCTTTGCATGCAGCAAGCATCTCGGCAGTTCGAAAGTATAGTGAGGATCAAATCTTCGAGATAATGCATCACAGGTCTTGTTGGTGATGCCCGGCAAGTGTTGAATCAATGCAGGTCTGCATGTAGCCTTTCCCAGGTCTAGCGCGAACTCTCGAGCGATGACTGAGAGAGCAGTTGAACCTCCTTTCAACGTCGAAAACAAGGTAAGGGCTCCAACGTTGTCATTGCGCACTTGCAGGACCACAGGAAAGTGCTGCCAGTATGGTGACCACGTTCTCAAGGCAACTAAACCAGCTAATGCCTCCCATACTTGCTGTCCACGACAGTCACCTGACTGCGTCTGCAGGGCCTCCTGATCTTCCAAGGTTATGGGGATCGCAAAGAAAGAGACAAAGGCACCGCTGATTTGTAATGTAGCCCCCATGCCATATGGGCTTGCATCCCATGTGATGACAACAACTGGTCCTTTGCGAAGATACGCGTCCAGAGTGAACTCTCGTCTAATGCCCAGCTGTTCTCCAGCCAAGAAGGTGAGAAGCCATGACACTGTATGCTGTATCTGTTTGACCCAGACACAGCCTTTGGGAGCTTTGGTGTTCACGACATGCATGGCCTTGTACAGCTGCTGCACAAATGGTCTCCACACCTGAATGACTGATGCGACAGAGGTGAGCTTGCCTGTAAGAGACCGCAAAGACTTGATGGACACCAAGTTGCTGCCAAGGGTGTCCTTCAAGAGTTTGATGAGTTCCGAAACCTTTGATGCTGGAATTTCCGCCACTACTGTGTCATCCTTCACTTCAAGCTGCACCCCAATCCATACTAGTTGTGGTGCCAGAGTTGCCTTGTGGAATGCCAAAGGAAAACCCATGATCATCCATGCAGACGCAATAACGCATGCCAGCCGCTTGGTACGATGCGGCTCTGCCAGAATTGCCACCAATGGGTCGTCAACATAAACCTGCATGGCGTACTCGTTGCTCAGGCTCTGCACCCATCTGGAAGCCACCGACATGATTGCAGCAAATGTCAGTGGTGCCATGCGTGACCCTTGGGCCGTTCTAGTGAACAAGTAGTAATGCCCGCGCAAGTGTGCACAGAAGTACCTCCTCTCCGAAACGTGAAGAGGAATGAGCCAGAAGGCATCGACAATATCGGCAATGAAGAGCTGTATATCCTGACCAGATTGTTTCTGCGCCATCAAGTGCAAGACCGACAAGATTGCATCGGTGGCCCTGGGAAGTACACTTTTGTGCGTACGTTGTGCCCGCTTCGACACTCCAGAGCGCTTGCAATCCAATATGATCCTGGCCTTATAGGTGTACTGGTCTGTGTCAGGGTTATACTTCATCTTCTTAATGCATCCCAGTTTAGACAAGGTTGGTTTACATCCCAGATGCCGTTCAACATCATCTAGTGTACGAAATTTCAACATGAACCCTTTCTCGTAGTATGACTCGAGCGCATCAAATGCTTCATTGTCCTCTTCAACACCAGTGTAGTTTGTAAATGAACCGAAGTCAGTATGCAGGTTAATATCATCCAGTTCCAGTTCATCATCTTCGACACTGGGAAACATGCCATCTAGGTCCTTTGAACTCATTTCCAACCCTGCCGGTGCTCCTTCAAATATCCATCTCGTAGCTCTTGCACCTGGGTCACCAACAATACAAGCCCATGCGTGAAGGAGCCTGCCCATGATCTTAGTCTCATAGTCCCCAGTCTGCGGTTCAGCCAGTTGCTTAACAACAATGCTGCCATCGTTGCGAAAGAACAGATCGATGACCCTGGATCTGACATGATCCATCCAGGGTTCCGGGATATGAACATCTTCTGGTTTCTGATGCTGCGTGATGTTCTCCCAAATGCAGTTCTCCACGTCTGGATTCTGAGACAAGGAATCCTCAATGATGTTTCTGACTTGAACCCCTATGAACTTCATTTTGTCATTCACCCAGTTTGAAACATTCCTCAGACTGTTTCTGTCGTCTACCTGGGTTTCGACATTCTGTGGCTTACCAAATTTTAGGGCCATAACAGGTTTGGGGTCAACCTCAAACTTTGGCTTGGCTACGTTACTTGGAACTTCCGTCCTCGCAGCCACTTTCACTGCGTTTCCCAAAGCTCTAGCTAGTGCCCTGTTGAGATCCGCAGGGTACGCAGCCGCCCGCCTGGTGATGTAGTCCCCCTGGGGCTCTGATGTCCTGAGCATCCCAGCGTTCCACATATGTGCTTCAACAGCAACTTGCTTACCCCTTAATGGCGGGTGTGAAGCCCAAACCCATTCCCCACTCCATGGAACCCTCCACCATTTGGGTGGATGGTTGCAAAGTTGGTGGAACTCCGGCCCTAAATCAAAATTGGCAAGCACATCAGTCTTCTTTTCAAACTCGCATCCGAAACGGCATTGGTCAAAGGTGGCCCGTCGCACGTCTTGCTCTTTCTCAAGCTCCCTGAACTCATCAAGCTTGAACATGGAAGGCTTCCCCTCTCGTTCATGGGGCTGCTCCAGAATCCAAGGTTTCTTGCGACGTGTGGCATGAGAAGCTGTTGACTGTGCTCTCGATGCCAAAACATTTCCCTCGTGGGCTCGTTTCTTGTCTTCTGGTTTCAAAGTCTTGAGACCATAGATCTCCTTTCCCTCAGCTGCTCTGAGTGGCTGTGGCCCGCCCTTTCCACCTCTTGCCATAGAAAAGGTGCAACAAGGTGGCGACAACATGAAGCCGTCGTACATTGGCAAGTCTTGTGAAACTCCCTCCCAAACATCTTGGTCTAGAAGGTCATGCAGTTCATTAACCTCAAGATCCACGCAGACACATTCAATGCCCAGCTCATCCAAGAACTTGCCAAGCCCATCATCTGGCCGTGGCGGACCACTGAAAAGGTAAAGTATTTTGCTGCTCCCCACACCCTGTGCGGTTGGTGTGGGTGCCGCTGAATTCCTCGGCCTCTCAATTGCCTTGTCAGGCAACTGATCTTCCGTCACATGCACTGATTGCTCTTCCCCTCAGTAAGGCGCTCTAGCGCCCTTTCCTTTTCTTCCTCCCTTTCCTTTTCCTTTGCCCATGGACTTGAGGAAGGATGGCTTCGGCATCTCCTTGTGAGTGCACTGAATCTGAGGGTGGCTCCCAAGGCACCGGCTGCACTGGTGCACTGTGTCCCATGACTGCGTGCACCAAATACCTTGACTGGCCTCTGTGCACTTGCCATCGTTGTACCCAGTGCAGATTTTGTAGCCAGTGCGGTTTGTGGTGTACTTCCCATCTTCAACATTGTTGAGTCGCCCCGATCTGCTGGAGTTCCTGGGACGGACTGAGGCGTTACTTTGTATGCCCATTCTCGATGGAGTTGGTGCTGACTCTCTGGGGCCTCCCTTGGCAACACCTGTAACCGCGTCACCTTGGAGCATATCTTCCTTTGGGGCAATCTTCGTGAGGATCAAGAAGGATGGGTCCACAACTTCCTCACGCCAGAATTCAAGGTCTTCTGTCGCCTTGAACCAGACATAGTTCCATGGCCTGGCTGGATCAAAGTCTGCGGTGCCACCCGAGGAAGTCGCCTTGTCGTGAGCTGCTTGGGCCATGCGCTTCAGGCGTGGCATGTTCTCCAACCTGGCTCTAACATCTCCTTGGTATATGACGGACCATACTCGCTCACCATACTTGTCGTGGAACTTCTCGATCATCGTCCTGTATCGCAGCAAATGACCTAGGTCGACTGCATCCAACATCACAAGAATGTTTTGCAGGACAGTGTAGCAACCGATCCACTGCGAGATGTTTGAAGGTCCATGCAGTTCCACTGTGGAGAGCTGTCCATCACGGGAAATCTGATAGCCACTGAGTTTCACCTTCTTGTAAATCCTCTGTCCATATGGACCGAAGATGGAAAAGTCAGCGTATGGACAGCAGCCTGAATCAATCAGGTGTTTCACTGCGGTCAACTGCTCTGCAGTCGGCTCTGTGCCGTTTGGTGGTCTGTCACCTTTTCCATACACCACTTCGTATCTTGCGAAGGCTTTCAAGACTTCTTTCTCTTCTGCCATCAGGATTTCTGTGTCGTCCACCTGTGAAATGATGGAGCTCAGCTTAATTTTCCTCTGTGCTGCAGCTGACGTCACGGCTGGTGCTGAGGGCAACGCTGGTGCTGGTGCGCTGGCCCTCTTCTTCAGCATCTCCAAAGATTCACCAGAGCCTGCTAAAACTCTGCAAACATGCCCAACCAATTTGGCCGTACCCATTTCAGTCAGAGTTGGGTGCCTGGCCGCAGGAGCATCTGGCACTTTCCACTTTGAGATCACTGCCTCATAGTCAGCCTCAGAAACGACTCCAATGGTGACAGGCTTGGTGATGTCTGCTGCACCAAGCAACTTTGCCAAGGAGCCTGAGAGTTTTGTCTCATCACCCATTTCCGTCTCACTCAACCCAACCCACTTGAAGACCTCGGCCATGGTGACCATTGCCTTCTGCTCATCCTCTGTTGGGTCCATTGAGTGTGATCCTCTGACCACTGGGCAATGTGATCACCTCCCAGGTCTTCCTCCTGCAGATGCAGCTGCAGCACCACGTCAATGGTGCTAAGAGGCAGCGCACCACCAGCAGCACTATGGCGCAATGAGATGCTGCTACTGTCACAGTACCCGCTTCACTTGCTGGTACCAATTGGTGCACTCACTACACCACCCCACCAGGTCCCCCACCGCAATGACGCGTCGGGTGGGTACCAGTTTCAAATTCCTGGTGGGTTGTGTGTGGATGCTTGAGCGCAAAATGGCCACAGCAACCACACTGACCCACCCATCCACCCAAGTGATTCAACCTCATTGCTACAATCACAACACGTTGTTCAACCCGGTAATAATAACATCAACTTTATCTTCATATCCACCTGAAGTCAGACGCGGAGCAACGTCAGGGTTGCAGCGAACATGTCTCATCCCCAAAGCCCCCCAGGGCTTTAGCAGCCTCGGGTGTCTCTGGCTCTGCCATGGGAACCTAGATCTCCTTCATCACCTGCGAATTCACCATGGTTCTGATCCCAAAAATGACCACATGTTGCCTGTCAAAGGAACCAAAGATGCAGCAACCCAATGCTTCGACTAGTGCAGCAGCCCCTTTGGAAAGGGGAAATCCATCCTAGCTACTGACTATAGTTTGGCAACCCTGAGAGTCAATGAAAATCAAGGCTTTCTCACTCAACTGGAACGCTTTGATAGACAATAGATTAATAGATATGACATTTTATATGTTATGTTGCTTTGAAACACAGAAACCGACCAACCACGTGGCTCTGCGGAGCCAGATCCATCGCTAGAAATTTAGGGATGTGGTTAGAAGTCTAGAAGTCTAGACTTTCTTGATGATACGTTCACCCCACTTGCAGTTTTGTCTCATTTCGGATCTTGTAAAATCATGTAAAATAGGTCTTCCATGGTCAGAACTTCAGAGGGCGCTACTTACCACGGTGATTTCGATGATTCAAGGCTTTCCGTTGCAGGACATCACACATCAAAGACCGTCCCCTGCAGAGAAATCCCACCTCTTCGCTGGGTCCCGCAATGTACGGTAGCACCATGGCAAGTTCATGGTGGCTGTGGGTCGTTTGGGTTTCAGCTACAACTGGACGAATCATTTCGGGTAGGCGGGCTGACCTTCACTATATTCTGGTCGGGGAGAACTTAACGATCGAGTATATGGCTCAAATTTGGGATGGACTGTCCCACTTAGGCCTCAGATAGGCAACCCTTGGAAGGGTATCTTGCTAATACTTCCACATGTTGCATGAGATTGCCAGGGTCGAAAGGTCAAAAGGTCAGCTCTGGCAATGAGCCACTGAGTCGACTGACGGCACACTCAACTTGCAGTACTGTATGGGCTATGGCGGCTATGGCGGCTATGGCGGCTATGGGCCTATGGGGACTGCGAAGCCACAAGGTCAACACATTGCCTTGATGGTTTCTGTCAAACCGCGGACAACCGCAGTGGACGTCTCGAAGCGAATGACTCGAATTTCTGGGGGTTCCTTCTGACAAAAAAAACATAAGTATCTCGAACCCCCCCAAAAAAAAACATAAAAATCCACGCCAAACCAAAAGCGCATGGCAACGGCTGGTCACATCTTCGGAATTCCTGTCCATAGTACACAGATTGCATCCATCGTACTCCTTGGGAGTTCTCCTGCGGATCTACTCTTGGGTCAACCAGCGGAGAGTAAACCACGCCACAAATTGGTTTCAAATGTGGCTGGATAGTGCTGAATGCCCAGTTGATTTTCAATGCCTTCCGCTTCAGATCACAAAAATGGTGGAAGGCTGTTTGCGTCACTTTACCCCAGTTCACAATCTTCATACTACAGTGATTACAAACAAAGTTGATACATCTATCAGTCCATTGGACCCACAAAATTTAGGTGCTCTCTCCGCTAGTGCACTGCTGGCGCCCAAAACTCAAATCAGTCTCGCCACCACGTATTGCTGGAGCTGTGTCGAGACTGGAAGTTCCGGAAGGCTCCGGTGACTCCTGTGGTCAGAGAAATTGTTACTTGGTGCTTTGTGGATCCCCTGTTAAAAGTGCAACTAACATCATGGGATAAATATGGTTATGAGTCAAAACCCTTCCCTAGGCACCCTAGAATACCAGGCCAATGGACGATTCTTCCCCCAGTCATATGGCAATAATAGGCGATTTGACCCGTTTCCAGATGGATAAATGTTACTTATCTGATTTGGGCACCTTTCAGGGATCTGTTTCAGGTGGTGTTGTTTCTCCAAAGTTTGGAAGTTCCCAGATTTACAGTGGAGAGTCCTTTGGCATCCTTGGAGAACTATCCATGATCAGAAATGCCTCGCAAAAAGTACAAATGGATGTGTCTGAAAAAAGGGTAGCCCCGAACAATTGACAGTGCATCATCATTCGCCCTGCAAAATAAGAAGATGCTTGGGGCGTACCACATTTTCAGACCCAAACATCATATCCCACTTGAAATCCTCATATTTTCTCCGGTGAAATCCCCATGTTTGATGATTAACAGCTGCCCATGTGACCATCTGGGAACGATATGCCCTGGCCGGGCGTGAATTTTGCGCTGGTGGTCTACCCGCAGCGCGGCACAGTGTACACGACAGGATGATCGAATGGATCGAGTTGTATGAAACCAATCAGTTGGTGGGGGATATTAGGGATCCAAGTACCTTTTTAAGATGTATTTCGGATATGATTTACGAGGCTAATTACCTTCCGGGACAGTGCTTGGATCCGTAAAGATGTGTTAATCTAGGAATCCCAAGTTTAACAAAAAAACTGTCATCGTTCCTTTAGTATGACTTTACTTTTTTGTCTTCTTGGGGGCTACCATATTCAAAGGAAGTTTAGGTAGGAAACTTCCGAGCTACGGACGATTGTCATGGTTAGCATTCCCACCATGCCAACCACATCATCATGTCAACCACATCGTCGTGTCAACCACATCATCATGTCAACCACCCATCATCAAGTAGTTGGGAAGTGTAACAGTTCGGACGCGTGTGAAATTCACGGGTGAGAACACTCTCGGGCGCAAAACCATGAGTTTTTTCGGGTAATGGGGCTCCTGGGGTCGCCGAATTAGGGTGTCTGTTTCCGCGGGTGCGGGCCTCGATCTGCAAAAGTTGTCGACAAAACGTGCACAGGACTGTAGGGAGAGCTCGATTTGCACTTCAATTCTTGTTTTAAAAAATGAGGTGGGCGTAACACTTTTGGAAGATCAGGTCGGCAAAATGTGTAGCGAGAGCTCAGTTTCACAAAAAAAATAGCACTTTCGGAGCAACGCGAAATCATCCCCACTGTCAGCGCTGCGTGAGCGTTGGTCGATTTGGTGCGACGCTCCAGCTATGCCGGTTTGCAACCGGTGGGGACAAAATGCATTGCAGCTGGAGGCTGCAAAAGGCAGCGTAACAGCTGCGCGAAGAGAAGAACTGGGTTGCAGAAGCTACAAAATAGCTAGCTGGGAGGCAGCTCAGAGCAGAAGTAGCCCATATAAGTGGCTGCCCAGAGAAGAAGTAGCTGAGGAAGAGGTGCCTCGGCAAAGTCGCTCAGTGAAGAAGCAGCTCAACAAAGAAAAGTAGCTCGCCCATCCAGCCCTTCATTCATTGATTCATTGATTCATTATAGTTCATTGATTCTTTGATTATCTTTGATTCATTACTCATTCACTCCATCATTGGTTCATTGATTCATCGAATCACTAGCTCACTCGTGCATTGATTCGATGATTCACTGAATCACCGATTCACTGAGTCATTGATTCACTGAATCATCGTTTCATGGATTCATCGGTTCATTGCTTCATTGATTCACTGAATCATTGCTGACTCATTGGTTCATCTACTCGCTACTTCATTCGTTCATTGATTCACTGACTCATTGGCCCGTTGGTTCATCGACTCACTAAACCGTCCATGCATGGATTCATTGATTTCATTGTTTCACTGAATCATCGGTTCATTGGTTCATTGTTTCACTGAATCATCGGTTCATTGATTCAATGACTCGTTGATTCACTGATTCATTGGTTCATTGACTCATTGGCATCTCAACCACCATTTGCTCATTCGTTGATGGACCTCACAACTTCAACCGCTTATGGCTTCTGCATCTCAAAAATGTTCCTATAGGCCATTGATTCTTGTAGCCATTTCCTATTTTCGAAACTTCCGCCCCGGGGCGGGCCGGGCACTATCTGGTATGTATACAGCAACCCACAATATGATATTTGGGGTCTGAAAATGGTGGATTAACCCCAAGTCATGATCATTGTCTCTTAGGGAAAACGATAAGAACGACAAGATAAAGAAAACAAAAGCATGTGGGAAGCCTATTTTCACCAAAAAAAAAAAGAAGGTTGGAGAATGACCCAAGCAAAGCAAAATGTAAAACAAGTGACAACAAACAATTGCAAACATATCCCATATCAACGTGAACGCTGGCAAACTTGACGGCGCCATTTACAACAACAACAACAACAGCAACAACAACAACAACCACAACCACAACCACAACCAACAACAACAACAACAACCACCACAACCACAACCACAACCACAACAACAACAACAACCACAACCACAACCACAACCACAACAACAAGAAGAACAACAGCAGAAACAATGACAGTAACAACAACAATCACAATAACAATGACAATAACAATAGCAATAGCGGTGACAATAACAATAACAAGAACAAAACCAATAACATTAATAATAACAATAACAACAACAATAACCAAAAAAAATAACAATAACGATAACAGTGATGATGACGGCTGATGTCGGAGCCCAAAACGCGGATACTGCAACCAGTGATCATGATGGATACCAATGATATCACCGCCGTTTCGTGCATTGGCGGCTTTGGGGTTCAACGGCAGAATTTGCAACAATATGCGAGATGTACTTGACCGCTTAGGGTTTTTCAACCTGCTTGAGAAATAGGAAGTTCATGTGGAATCATCATTCCATGTCTAGGAGGTGAAAAATACTTGACAACCACAAAGCCATGACTGCTCGTTTTCGTGAACTGTGGCGAGAACGTGATGGCGAGACACAGCTTGCTTGCCTTACCTTGTTCAATCATCCAGTCATGTTCTTTAAAAACCCGCGGCAACAGAAATGCGACCTGCACCTGAAGAACCCTGTATAGATGACAAAAACTATCTGAAACAGATGCTACTTCCCGCATGTTACTTCGATGTCCTCCGGGGACAATAGAGGGATACCATATCATATCAACATTCGATGATTGTATTTACCTCTCGCTTTTGAGAAACAAGAATCAGGACTGCTCCAGACTGCCCCCCCCTTTTCATATTGTTCATCCACCAGTTGAATTTTAGGACATCTATGATGCGCGTATCACGGATGATCGTTGCCCCTTCCTGCTGAGTGGCCGAAAAACCATTGGGAAGATAGACAGTCAACGTGGATCATCCCAGGTTCTTAAGATTGAATGCTTGAATCTGCTTGAAACCATGAAAGCACCAGCCAAATAAATTGGTTCTATCCCCATCTCATCATTCATTGGTGGCTAAACTAAGTCCCCCTTTTTTATCGTTTGTGTTTAGACAATGTAAATTGTTGGTGGTTTCAACCCCTCTGAAAAATATTAGTCAGTTGGGATTATTCTTCCCAATATATGGAAAAATAAAAAATGTTCCAAACCACCAACCAGTATATATATATGTATATATTCAATTATATAACATGTGTAAATATATGTGTAAGGTTGTCATTCTAAAAAATGGTCACATTGCCATATCTAGGGGCTAAAATCCCAGACAAACCCCGAGTCATCCTTCGTTCTTTATGGTCAAACGCCCGCATCAACTAAAGATATGCATCCATTATATACTGTACATATTATAAATAGGAGCCTCTGGCTATTTAACGTAATTATCGAAAATCACATGCTTTAATAGTTAAGTCATTGTAAATCATCTATCAACTGGCCATGGCTTCCATATCTATGTCAAATAACCAACGGGTATGAATCATGAACATGATCTATGTACGAGTTTGACATATGTGCATCACCAATCAGCTTGCATATCATCGAGAATCTTCATATTCATTTTTTCCAAAATTTCTCTTTTTGTTTTTTCTGTGCTAATTCACCAGCTGGGAAAAAAAACATCGGATCTTCGGCTGCAGGTTATTCGGTTCTCTGCAGCTCAATGATTTCATTCTCCGGCGACGCTTCCTCCGCTGGTGGCGCCACTTCACTGTCATCCACCAGCTCTTTCGGCCGCTGCGGAGCCTGGCAGCTGGAGGGCTGGGAGATTTTTGTGGATCTTTTCATGGTAAAGTTACGCGCAGACCCCCCAGTTCGCCCACACAACTTCTTAGGGATTTCGAAGGAATATCAATTCCCAGCCCCGTTAAACTTTACATTCAATTGGGAAGATCAACAAGGGGATTAGGAATATAGATTCCCAACCCCGTTAAACTTTACATTCAATTGGGAAGATCAACAAGGGGATTAGGAATATAAATTTCCACCCCCGTTGAACTTTAAATTCAATTGGGAAGATCAACAAGGGTATTAGGAATGTAAATTCCCAACCCCGTTAAACTTTACATTCAATTGGGAAGATCAACAAGGGGATTAGGAATATAAATTTCCACCCCCGTTGAACTTTACATTCAATTGGGAAGATCAACAAAGGGATTAGGAATATAATTCAATTCCCACCCCCGTTAAACTTTAAATTCAATTGGGAAGATCAACAAGGGGATTAGGAATATAAATTCCCACCCCCGTTGAACTTTACATTCAAATGGGAAGATCAACAAGGGGATCAGGAATATAGATTCCCACCCCCGTTGAACTTTACATTCAATTGGGAAGATCAACAAAGGGATTAGGAATATAATTAAATTCCCACCCCCGTTACACTTTACATTCAGTTGGGAAGATCAACAAGGGTATTAGGAATATAAATTCCCACCCCCGTTAAACTTTACATTCAATTGGGAAGATCAACAAGGGGATTAGGAATGTAAAATCCCAACCCCGTTAAACTTTACATTCAATTGGGAAGATCAACAAGGGGATTAGGAATATAAATTCCCAGCCCCGTTAATCTTTAGATTCAATTGGGAAGATCAACAAGGGGATTAGGAATGTAATGATGAAGATGAAGATGAAAATGATGATGGTGATGGTGGTGATGATGATGATGGTGATGGGGATGGCATGATGATGATGATGATGATGATGATGATGATGTTGATGATGTTGATGATGATGTTGTTGTTGTAACATTCAACGCAGAAGGTAGCTAAGCTGTGCGTTGCAAGATGAAAGCCATGATCATGGACATGTGCATTATGTCCCACAAAACACAGTGTTTTTTGATGTTCGGACATGTCGTCGGCGTCGGCGCGGGCAAACTGAGGGGTTTGCCCGTAAAGTTACTGTAGGAAAGCAGAAAAATCCCCGATGTTTACCATGCTTATTGCTACTAAAAACCCAACAAATTGTTGTTTGTTCTTGTTTAACCAGAAATGAGTGGCTTTTTCTTAGTGATATTGATAGTGAAATCATGAAAGGATGGTGGATACTTATTTGCGGTGGTGATATACTAAGAATGGAGGTAGAATGGCGAGATTTATGGATAGTGTGGAGGTGTAAAGTCAGATGATATACAGCCAATAGTATTGGATATCATGGAAAACAAAACCAGGGCAGTAACCCTAAAATTGGTGCTGTTACCATGAATAATGGAAGTTGATTGGGAAGTTGTGGGGAAACATTGATCTAATGAAGATGTAATGAGGATATTGATGAAACATGTATAATGGAATATAACCGACCTTTACTTGGGTGTGTCGGAAAATAGTGGAAGTACCCCAAATATACAGCCACTTTAAAGGTAAAAATGACGGTATCCATTGGAACCAGGGAATACCGTATACCCTATTCTACAAACCCAAATCAAATGGGACCTAATACCATCAACCACCAACGACACAGTGCAGCAAGGCACCATGACATTTGAGTCTATCACGTTACCAAATTTGCACTTTGCTCAAATGGCTTGGTTCAAGAGAGTCGGCAAAACCAAGGGGGAAAGAACAGCACGAAGCCCACTGGGTTGCAAAACTTGGTTTGTTCCGTACCCCTGGTCAGTGTCAGGTCAGTCAGGTCACGTGGTGTTTTTAATCCCGGCACAACATCCTTTGGGCGACCCGCCTGTAGCAAAAATGACGGTTTCGTGATCGACGGTAACCTTGGAGATTCCTCCTGCAAGAAGTGACGTTGACTCGTTGAGCAGCAATGGGGTTGTATCCCTATCGATTGAAGTCCAATTCAAAGGTTAATCATCATTTTCCCTCTTAAAATGCCATTTTGGGTATATAAGCCTTCTTGGGCAAAACTCATATGGGGGTTTCCTAAATTGGGGTACCCCAGGTCACCATGGCTGTTTCAATACTGCAATGGTCTAGTCACTTGGATGATTTGGGGTAAGGGTACCTTCAAATAGAACCCATATTAGATTTGGTTTCAATTAACCAAATTACATAGTTGAACCAAATTTCTATTAGGTCAAACCCATTTTAGCTAAAACCATGGTTTTCATTGTATTTTTGCAAACCCCCATGTTACAACTAGCATTATCTGTCAGCAGTGCCGCCGGCTTCAGGAGTATCACGGCCTTTCCCACCTTCAAAGGCTGACAGCACCGCCCAGTGCTGTTTTTTCTATCGGTCCCTGAAAACATAATTCTCGTTAAACGTATGCCGTCAAACCTCTCGTGGTTTCTCCTAATGTGTCTATATAACATATTCTAACATATCATAATCTCGGTTCTTGTGATATGATTCTATAATAATACCATGTGTGCTCCCTTTTTTGTGTTGGTTTGTCTTCATCATTGACATAGTTGAGAACAATCTTCACACATTTGTTCATGCTGAAGATTCGGTGCCGGGGGATTTCAACATGGCATGTCTTGGCCCGAAATCGTCGCATTTCATCTCTCAAATCCCCATAAAATTTCGCTGAAAATCACCCAAAAGAAACACCACCGGAATTCCCCAAATTCAAAGTCACCCTGCAAAATTCACCACCGATCTCCTCCAAGATTCCCATCACCTTGTCCTCCTCCAGCTGCGGAACCTCCTCCAATGGCTCGGTGCCGGTGAATCGGACGCTGGGCTCTCTGCTGGGCTCTCTGCTTCCTGCAGACCTCATCGCCAGCTGCAAACCTCCCAGCCGCGGTGCTTGGCGCAAAAAAGCGCGGCAGCGTGCGGTGCTTGGAGGATCATCCCGCGGATCGTAAGTCGTTCATAACCATAGATAGATAGATAGATAGATAGATAGATAGATAGATAGATAGATAGATAGATAGATAGATAGATAGATAAATAGAGATATAGATAGATAGATAGATAGATAGATAGATAGATAGATAGATAGATAGATAGATAGATAGATAGATAGATAGATAGATAGATAGATAGATATAGATAGATATAGATAGATATAGATAGATATAGGTAGATAGGTAGATAGGTAGATAGGTAGATAGGTAGATAGGTAGATAGGTAGATAGGTAGATAGGTAGGTAGATAGGTAGATAGATAGATAGATAGGTAGGTAGATAGGTAGATAGATAGATAGATAGGTAGATAGATAGATAGGTAGATAGATAGATAGATAGGTAGATAGGTAGATAGGTAGATAGGTAGATAGGTAGATAGGTAGATAGATAGGTAGATAGAAAGATAGATAGGTAGATAGATCGATAGATAGGTAGATAGGTAGATAGATAGATAGATAGGTAGATTAGATAGATTAGATAGATTAGATAGATTAGATAGATTAGATAGATTCGATAGATTAGATAGATTAGATAGATTCGATAGATTAGATAGATTAGATAGATTAGATAGATTAGATAAATTAGATAGATTAGATAGATTAGATAGATTAGATAGTTAGATAGTTAGATAGATTAGATAGATTAGATAGATTAGATAGATTAGATAGATTAGATAGATTAGATCGATTAGATCGATTAGATCGATTAGATAGGTTGGATAGATTAGATAGATTAGATAGATTAGATAGATTAGATAGATTAGATAGATAGGAATAGATAGGAATAGATAGGAATAGATAGGAATAGATAGGAATAGATAGGAATAGGAATAGGAATAGGAATACGAATAGGAATACGAATAGGAATAGGAATAGGAGCAGGAAAAGGAAAAGGGGATGCCGGTCATTTTCCAACACCAAGAAACGGTCATTTTCCAACACCAAGATTCGGTCATTTTCCAACACCAAAAAACGGTCATTTTTCAACACAACTCCGTAAAATCAAGCGCGGAATTCTCACCGCCGCCAAGATTCTGTGCAACGTACCCGAAAAAAGAAAGGATGCTGGCTCTTTTGGGACTCTTACACACATCTCGGCGCACACGCGATTTTTTACATTTATATGCTATTTATTTTTTGAATGGATACATGGAATAATGCTTAAAGTTCATGTAAGGATTTTGAAACTGTTTCGGGTTTGTTTACAGTTTCAATTACGGTTGGTTAAGAATTTATTCAGGATTGGTTTGAAGTTTATTTAGGATTGATTCAGGATCTATCTAGAGCTGGCTTAGGACCTATTTAGGGTTGGTTTAAAGTTTGTTTAGGGTTGGTTTGGGAGCTATTCAGGCCTGGTTTAAGATGTATTTAGGGTTGGTGTAAAGTTTATTTAGGCTTGGTTTAACATCTATATATTTGGGGTTGGTTCAGGATCTATTTAGAGCTGGTTCAGGGTTTATTTAGGATTAGTTTCAGATTTATTTAGGTAATGCTTAGGGTTTACTTAGATTTGCTTTAGTGTGTTTTTTTGTTTTGGGCTTTGTTTAGGGTGGGGTTATGTCTATGTATTATATATCCTCCCTTGAGTTTGGGGTGCTGCTTGGGACCCACCAGTTTACAGTTGTAAAACTGAAAAGTGCCATTCTGGCATCTGTAAAATGCAGTTTCCAACCAAAAATCAATATATAAATCCATAATCTCTGTAAAGTTGTACATCGCAGGGTACTCCAAAATCTGTTTTTTGTCAACTATCCATCTGTATAGTGCTAACCCTCTGGAAATATATTCAAAATATCATCCAGTCATCTTAGCCACTCAGACCCCCCCAGAAAAAACGAATGCATTTTACAGAGGATCCATCTTGAAACCCCTTCATATCACCCAAAAACATCCAAAAAAAACAAATGCATTTTACAGAGAGGGGTATTGTATTATATTCCATCCAACCTGAGTTATTCCCGGTCAACCCATTCTGAACTCCAGGTGTTCACCATGGGGAACAATAGCTCGCCGAAATACAGTGACAAGAAGCAACAGAAACATTTTTTAAGTCTTTAGGTGCATCAAAAACAAAGTAATGCCATGCTATTATATATATATAATATAACTCTAAACCGCCACCGTTCACCACTCCCGAAGAAACTGATGGGAGGGTCTAAAGCAAACTCCGGTAGGCCAAGATTATTCAAAAAAGGTTTCCTGGTTTTAGAGGTGCTAGTTTCTTGCAGGTTCCTCAGTCTGCACAAACACCTTCCACCCTCCCAGCTCCAGACCCAAGCAGCCAAACAAACATGCGCCTGTACGCCCCCGCAATTGCAACATCAGTGCATTTTAGGGGAACGCATCATGATGTTGTGCTAGCGCGGGCGTGCGGATTTTTTTTGTTGTTGTTCAAATTGAATTCAGGTGCATTTTTGCTTTGCAACATGTTTTGGGCTGCTGGAGTCTGTAACTGGGAGGGTGAAGGTGCCTCTGTAAAATGTGGAACCTCCACAACACTTGAATTTCAGCACCTGTAAAATCAGGAACCCATTTGAATAGCCTTGGCCTTGGCCTGCTGGAACGGTTTTTTTTTGAATGCAGTGTGATGTTGTGCTAGCGGGGGCGCAGGGCGTTTTTTAGTGGTTGTTCAAGTTTCCTTCAGGTGCATCTTTGCTTTGCACTCCTGGACTCAGGTGCGGGAGGGTGGAAGGTGTATGCGCATAATGTATCATAATCCTACAGGACACTTGAATGTGAGCACCAAAAAACAGAAACCAATTTGAATAGGTTTGGCCGACTGGAACGTTTTCTTGATGTTGCGCGAGCGGGGACGTACATTTTTATTATTACTATTATGTTTGATCAAATTTTCTTAAGGTGCGAGTTCGCTTTGCAACATGTTTTGCGCTGCTGGGGTCCGGAACCGGGAGGGTGGAAAGCGTCTTGGCAAAATATCCGTTTTGGTCTTCTGATGACATGTGTTTTAGATTTGTTGCAACCTGCCATCATTGAGCCATCATTGGCATTGATCGGCCGATCATCAAATTTCCTCTGTAAAATGCTACTGGGACATGTGTATGCCAGTAGGAGCTCCGTAAAATCAGAAACATGGCTCAATATATCACAATGTATAAGGGTCTGAATGATAGTCCAAAATCATCTGTAAAATGCGGTGGCAAGGCTCAGACTAAATCAACATAGCACCAAAAATGAACTCACTGTAAAGTGAACGGAGAAAAAAGGCATGACTTCAGAGCTTTTTTTGGGGGGGAAAAAATGCCTTGTCTGGACCCCCAACCCCCACCACTTCACAGAGGAAACAAACGAGAGGATTATTATATGATGTTTCTTGGGGTTTATTTACGGTATGAGAAACAAATGAAAAGCAGGGAAAAGCAGAGAAGCAGGTAAGCAGAAAAAAACAGAAAGCAAAGAAGCAAAGAAACTGGAAAAGCAGAAAAGCAGGGAAAAGAAGAAAAGCGGAGAAGGAGAGAAGCAAAGAAGCAGAAAAGCAGGAAAACGCAGAAAAGCAAAGAAGCAAGCCAGCAGGGAAAAGCGGAGAAGCAATGAAGCAGGGAAAAGCAGAGAAGCAAAGAAGCTGGGAACCAGAAATCCAGAAAAAAATCAAAACGGAAGAAAAAAAAAAACTAACCCTCCATTAGTTACTGGTATTTAGGGTGTGTTTAAAGTTTTCTGTGGTTGGTTGAAGGTTTATTTGCGGTTTATTTAAGGTCGCTTTAGGGTTTATTTAGGGTTGGTTTAAAATCTATTGAAGGACAGTTTCTGGTTCATTTGGTGGTGATTTAGGGTTTATTTTAAATTGGTTTAGGGTTTACTTAGGGTTGGTTTAAGGCTTATTTAGGATTGGTATTGATTGGTTCAAGTCTGATTTAAGGTTGGTTTTGGGTTTATTTAGGGTTAGTTTGGGGTTATTTGGAGTTGGTCTATGTCTGATTTAGCGTCGGTTTAGGGTTGCTTTGATTTGTTTAGGGTTGTCAGAATTGGTTTTGGGTTGGTGTAGAGTTTCTTTAGGATTTATTTACAACTCATTTCCGGCGTATTTAAGGTTTATTCCGCAAAGCTACACAATGTAGAAACTAATGATCTTAACCACCCCAACCAAGAACCTCCGGAAACGAAGCAACACAAACACTGCGGTGACCTACGGGGTCGCATTTAAAACCCAAACAAGAAACTCCGAAAGCAAGAAAGCGAGAAACCCAGAAACCAAGAAACCCAGATTCCAAGAGACGCAGAAGCCAAGAAACCGAGAAACCAAGAAACCGAGAAACCAACAGACCCAGAAACCAAGAAACCCAGAACCATGGCGCGTTGCAAAATGAACGCAGCGGCTGCACGCACGAAATGTAGACACGAAGTAACAGCCCTGGCGCGTTGAGAAATGACCCCTGGCGCGTTGAAAAATGACCTAAATACCGCGTTGTAAAATGACCATTTTATCGCGTTGAGAAATGATCCCCCTTCCAAGGAAAAGGAAAAGGAAAAGGAATATGAATAGATAGGAACAGATAGGAATAGACAAGAATAGATAGGAATAGATAGGAATGGATAGGATTAGATAGGTTTAGATAGGATTAAAGAGGATTAGAGAGGATTAGAGAGGATTAGATAGGATTAGATAGGATTAGATAGGACTAGATAGGATTAGATAGGATTACATAGGATCAGATAGGATTAGATTAGATTATATTTGGATTAGATTAGATTGAGATAAAAATAAAGAAAAGGATAAAGAAAAAGCTAAAGATTAGATTAGATTAGTTTAGATTCGATAGATAGGATAAATAGAATAGATAGGATCGATAGGATAGATAGGATACAAAGGATAGATAGGATAGATAGGATAGATAGGATACAAAGGATAGATAGGATAGATAGGATAGAGAAGATAGATCAGATCGATAAGATAGATAAGATAGATCAGATAGGTAAGATAGATAAGATAGATACGATAGCTAAGATAGATAAAATAGATAAGGTAGATAAGATAGATAAGAGAGAAAAGAGACATAAGAGAGATAAGAGAGATAAGATAGATAAGATAGATAAGATAGATAAGCTAGATAAGCTACATCAGATAGATAGGATATATAGGATAGATAGGATAGATAGGATAGATAGGATAGATAGGATAGATAGGATAGATAGGATGGGTAGGATGGGTTGGATGGATGGATGGATAGATAGATAGATAGATAGAGAGAGATAGATAGAAAGATAGGTAGATAGATAGATAGATAGGTAGATAGATACATAGATAGATAGATAGATAGATATATATAGATAGATAGATAGATAGATAGATAGATAGATAGATAGATATAGATAGAGAGATAGATAGATAGATAGATAGATATAGATAGATAGATAGATATAGATAGAGAGATATAGATAGATAGATAGATATAGATAGAGATAGATAGAGATAGATAGAGATAGATAGAGATAGATAGAGATAGATAGATAGATAGATAGATAGCTAGATAGATTGATCGAGATAAATCAAGATAGATAGAGGTAAATAGAGATAGAGATAGATAAAGAGATAGATAAAGAGATAGATAAAGAGATAGATAAAGAGATAGATATATAAAGAGATAGAAAAAGAGATAGATAAAGAGATAGATAAAGAGATAGATAAAGAGATAGATAAAGAGATAGATAAAGAGATAGATAAAGAGACAGATAAAGAGATAGATAAATAGATGGAGACAGACAGATATCTATAGATAATATGGGATAAGTCCTCGAAATGGTGACATTCTAAGTTGGATTATTGACCTTTCTTCGTGGGATGATCCTCCAAGTGAGGTATTTTCAAATCTTCCAAGTGGGATGTTGGACATGGTTTAACCAAACCATTTTTGGTTTTGCCCCCCAACCAACATTGCCAGTCATCACCTGGGTTTGTCCAGAAACGGGGCATACCACTGGGGTTACCGTTTGAAATTTGAGGGGTCCAATTTGTCCAATATTTCTTAACACACCCACCAGGGTTGGCAAACCATTGGTCTGGTTACCCTGTTTGTTGGCTACAATCCAATATCTGCAAGGTGGTCGTTGAACGGGTTGATGAGTATATCATACAGTAGTATATCCACATCCATATTCCTTAACAAGAATGGACTATTCGGGGTCCAAATTGAATTACCCTCCAGTAAACTAACATGGTTATGGAAGATCACCGTTCGAATAGGAAAATCAAGTATAAATAGGCAATTGTCCACAGCTATGTTAGTTTACCAAAGGGCACCTCACAGATAGTTCAAACACAGGATTCAGGATGGCTATTGAAACATTGCCGAGAGTCAGCAGCCAATCAGTGGGTGATATCCTTTGTGCCTATCATTTGTTGATCATGTGCCCATTATATTCATTTCATGAAATTTGCGCAGTTGGCTGGGTTGCATGTAATCCAATCCTACAGATTTGTGAATGGCTATATCCTCGACCATTGGTAGATGTGTATATATATATGTATGCATTTTTCACAAGGGATATGCAGTTCGCCGATTGAACTACACGTCCGCAGCAGCATAGCCAAAGCTGGTTGTTTATTTAATTTTCAGAAAAGGACGCTGTGCGCCCGTGCGTTTTGCACTGTTTTCCTTGCAGTGTTTTGCAATGTTTTCCTCTTGCAGTGTTTTCACATCATCAAAGGGCCACAATAAGCCACAATATGCCCAAATATGCCACAATAGGCCACAAAGGTCTAAATAAACAAAAAACAAAAAAAAAGATTTCTAGAGACTGTAGGCATTGGGGGCATGTCTTTGGTTGTTTTTGTTTTTTTGGTTTTTTTTGTTTTTTTTTGTTTTTTTTGGTCTCCTAGGGGCCGACCTCATTTTCCGCCATCTTCGCTCTCCCGGTTTCTCTGTCTACAGGGCCGCCGCTGGCCTCTTTCGGGTTGCCACGTTAGTTCTTCGGATACTTGTCGTTGGCATTTCCCGGAGATTCGCGTTCCAAAACAAGATACTCTCTTCAACCCAAAATTTGTGGCTACAAGGCCGAAGGCCATTCAAAATGAAATTCTTCCTACGAATCCATGCGTTGAACACTTCACTCATATTAGTCCTTACATCCTTATATAAATCGGTTGGCCTCACTGCGCGTCAGCTTGCATTTCTTGCATTTGTGGTTGCCCCGGTGGAACTCATCTACGATGAAGTGCTTGATGTTTTTAAAATGTTTCTTCAAAGACTGGTGCCGATGAACATGAGCTTCAAAATGACACGCGTCATCGTGGATGATGGCATTGGCGTTGACTTTTTTCATCTTCATGGCTGCCCTAACTACCTCCACCTTGTCTGGCAAACATTCGTTGACCAAATGCTCCTTTGCTGCTAGGACTCGACGACTTGTGGGATCGATAACGAACTGCCATCCGGCCGAAGGGATTGTTTGAGGCAAGCATTCTTGTACGCTTTTCCCAAGGCATCAAAGTCAATCGCATTTTCATACCCAAAGATGATGTCATAGAAATGGACCACTGGGGACTCCGATGTGTTGAAATCATCCTTCGGGAAGGCATCCCATTCAAAAGAACCTCTGGGTAGCTCAGGAGAAACACTAGCAGGAATGCTGCGTAATGTTAATCCTTCGGTTACTTCCTTCAAATCGTCATACGTCATATCTTCCGCTTCAAAAGGCATGACGGGCACACGCACCAAGTAGCTTAGAAGGATAGGGCACGAACTACGGACTGGAGCATAAATATACATACATAATGTGACAAGTCATGCGATACAACCTGCAGCAATGAGAACATGTCTTAAAACTCATTATATAGGGACTTTGTCAAAAATAGTGATTTATATGGAAATTATACGGGCGTGGGGCGTCCCCCTCTCTTAATTTTTAGGATAAGCAACTTCCATTGTTCTCTGTCTTCAGCAATTGGGCAGAGGAGATTCATGTATCTGGTAGTATTGTACCACTGTTTCATGCTGGAGGAGTAGTGTTTCAATTCAATGATGGTATGCAAATATGTCCAATGTCCTAAGAATTCATTGAACCATCAATGACCATCATTAACACATCAATTTCCATCAATGATGTCCTAACATGTCCTAAGAAAGTGAAGAAATGACGGGTTTTTTTCCTCAAAAGCTGGACAGTGCTGATTCCGCGAGGACGATGGTGTTCATCGGCTGAGGAGAACTCGCTTTTCGTACTGACGGAATGTTAAAAAAATCTGACGTGCTCAAGATTGTGGAGGGAATCAATTTTGTATATGTAACTATATGGTAAATATATAGTAAATATATGGTAACTATATGGCAAATATATGGTGTATACACTGGAGGTTTCCACTCCATGGTACCCCCGGCTCTCCGTCACCACACCTTGAAGTTCGAACTTCAGTTCATCGACGTGTCGGGCGTTTTCCTGGCTTGGCCGTTGCGGGACCGACGCTGGCTACCCTCTGGTCAACTAACATGACTATGGAAAATCACAATTTTTGAATATTTTTGATAGGTAAATCAACTATAAATGGTGATTTTCAATAGCTATGTTAAGTTAGGTACCTAGGTACCTAGCTATGTTTAATAGGTACATCAACTGGTTGGTGGTTGAGCCACCTACCCCTCTGAAAAACGATGGAGTTCGTCAGTTGGGATGAAATGACATACCCAAATTGGAAAAATAAAACATGTTCCAAATCACCAACCAGTTGAGAAAGAACCTTAAAAAAATATGACCCCCAAACACCAATTGTCCATAGCAAGGTGTCACCATAAGTCGCATGCTCTTGCACACCAGAAAGGATCATCTAGATTCCCTGAAACACTAAAACAGGTCTCATGTGAAAGATTTTTTTCGTTCGCCACCAAATATGTTTTTTTGGGTTCGATACCTTTGGGTGCCACTGTTTTCGTTGCATTTTAGGGTTGGCCAACAAGAAATACTTTCAGTAGGAATTACGCATCACTCATGTGAAAACAAAGCAAATGGAGTACCAACTGGCCGACACCAACCAGGCTGGACTTATTTTAAAAGTATTTCAAAGTTACCCTCTGGTTAAACTAACATAGCTATTGAAAATGGCCATTTATAGTGAGTTTTCCCATTAAAAATGGTGATGTTCCATAGCTATGTTAGTTTACCAGAGGGTAACCGGGTAACCAGTCATTTTTAGGGAAGTCAACCATTAAAAAAAAATGCTGAAGCAACTCCCATGTTTGCTGCTTCTACCGCACCCCGAAAAAACACATCGGTTTCGAAAATGGACAGCCCCTAAATCAGTTTTCAAGAAAGCCATTGCTAAGTCATCATGTTCCCCAAAATCATGGAAAATCACCATATTTTGGGGAAACATGCCGGACCATCCCTCAGGTTCCAGCAAACATTCTCAGTTCACTAATTTGACACCCTTCGAGAAAAAAAGAGTGGTGGATTCAAAACCCGAAGAGTTTCTTGAGTCTTTCTCTCTGAAGTAGAATAAACATGCGAAAACTATTGAGCGGAACAAGCGCAGAAAATATATAACATCCTCAATTCATGATGTCATGCAATAACGTATCATTCCCACATTATGTATCTTGAAGGATTCCGCATGTTCGATTTCATCTTACATCTATAACAAGCAACCATCCGAAATAAAATCTGTAGTAAAACATCAGGTTATGTCCCAGTTCAATCCCAACTCTCCCATGATGCCCCAATCCCAATACCATCCAATCATCCCAAAGTCATCCGAAATACTTCGAAATGTGATTCCAATCTCCCATATATTCTTCTTGAAATATCCCATAAAATCAGGAGATCCCCCCATTTCTCCAAAATTTCCCATCAATATCCCATATGTTTTCCTAGATATCTCCCATAAGACCTCTCGTCGGACCCCCAAGCAGTCCACAAATGTTCCATTCACTTCGATGGTTTTTACCATTAAAACCACTTCAAAGATCCATTGACAAGATTGTTGTCCAGATATATCCCATCGATATATCATCCTATGTCATATTTCCCATGTCTATTCGAAGATATCTTCACATATATCATATATATATATATATATTCATCATCCCACATTGTTGACAAAAAATATTGCATATATCTAGGGAAATCATCTAGGATAAATGTCTAGGATATATGGTCTACATACAGTAGAGTTTGATAATGTTTGATATCCCATTTTCTCTATAGTTGTGGAACATGGCCCATTTATAGATGATTTATTGAATGATGTACCTTTTGCAACACCCTTTTTTTTTCCGTAGCTACGTTAAATAACAAAAGTGTTCAAAAGGGTATCCCATACCCTCTGGTAAACTAACATAACTATGGAAAATCACCATTTTCAATGGGAAAATCCACTATAAATGGTCATTTTTAATAGCTATGTTAAATTACCAGAGGGTAAATTCTCCCATGAAATTCCCCCCACTCAAACTCCGCTCCACGGATCTCCACGGCGCACCTGGAGCACTTCCTCCACCTTTTCCTGCACGGCTTTGGTGGCCAAGAGCCCCGCCACCACGTCGCTCTTGGAGATCTCGCCACGGATCTTCAAAAGCCCGTGGACCTTGCCACCAAACATGGCAACATCATCGACATATTGGGAAAGTGATTGAAAAATTATATGGAAATCATTGGAATATGAAAATGATTGGAAAATGAAGGGGAAAATCATGAGAAAATGATTGGGAAATCATTGTAAAACATAGGGAAATCCTTGGACAATAATGGTAGAATGCCAGAAATTCCCACGGAAATACCAGATACTGCCCAGCCGTGCCGGGCCGGAAGTTTGAAAAAAAAACAACACTATAAGAAATCAACGGCCTATAGGAAAGCTTTAAATTTTGAGATGCAGCAACTGCGTAGGTGTTGAAGTTGTGAAATGCATCAACGAATGAGCAAATGGCTGGCTGTGGAGATGCCACTGAAACTACCCGAAAAAAAAAATCCACGTACAGCTGACTGAATGAACCAAGGAACGAAGTAACCAAGGAATCAATGAACCAATGACTCAATGAATCCATATGTAAATAATATACGTGAATCCATGAACCACACAATGAATCAACGAAACAACGAACCAGTGAACCAATGAATCGATATTTGAACAATGCAATGAACCAATGAATCAACAAGGCCCAAAACCGCAGAAACACAAACCCTACCTTCGCGACCCCAGGAGCCACCATACCCGTAAAACCACAGGGTTTCGCGCCCGAGAATGTTTTCCCCCACCCTTTCACTACCCAACTACTTGATGATAGGGTTGACATGATGGTGTGGTTGACATGATGGTGTGAACCATGACCATCGTCCGTAACTCGGAAGTTTGCTAAGTAAACTTCCTTTGATGACGGAAAAATGATGGGAGAATGAAAGGTAACCGTTGGGAACATGGGGAAAAATAAAGGAACATTATAGGAAAATGGTGGGAATATACAGGCAAATGATGGACACATAAGGGAATAGTGATGGAAAAATATGCGGAAAACATCGGAGGCTGATTAACCACACTACGGGATTTGGCGCTACCATCTTAGGAGGTCAGACATGCGGATGATTTTCTGAGGAGTCCTTTTCGTCCTCCAACTTTCGGGTCGAAAATGTTTCCCGGCAGCTCTCGGGCATGTTGGAATGTTTTCCCATGGTGTTTCCTGGGCTTGCTAGTTGCTGGTTTCAAAACATTCCTTGCGGCAAATCTGGAATGTTGTGCGTTAGCGAACATCTGGGGCATGCTCCGGGCCACGTCACAAGGCTCCGCCATACGACTCGGATGCCAGTAACGAAATGTAAGGGACCCTTCATGCATTTATTCATATTTCTTCAAGAATTAGGGTCACGGGTCACACCTGTGGCATTTCCCATCTTCCATGCCATCCAGGAGCCAGCTCGGACAATTGGAGCGTCCCCGAGCCATCTGCATCGATTATCTCGAAGAGATTGGCGCGATCCGGCGGCAGTTCCAGTTCATCCATCAAGCCTTGGACACGACGGTCCTGGATCACCATCAAGAAGAGCTCCTGTGCCGCGGTCCACAAAACAGGATTTCCCGAAAAATCATGATTGATCAGAAAACATCACGATTCGGAGCATGTGGGTGAGCGCATCTTTGTTTGTGCAAGTGTGGGTGTGAGTATGCGTGTGTATATATATATATGTGTGTGTATATCTAGATATATATATATATGTGTGTGTGTATGTATGTATGTATGTATGTATGTATGTAATGTAATGTAATGTAATGTAATGTAATGTAATGTAATGTAGTGTAATGTAGTGTAATGTGATGTAATGTAATGTAATGTAATGTAATGTAAGTATGTATGTATGTATGTATGTATGTAGGGTGAAGGCTGGGGGTTCCCCAGAAGCCAATTGCATTTTATTTGTATGGATATGGAACATGTTGCTTTTACACTGTGTTTTACAGTGTTTTATGCTTTCTCTGAAAGTGTTCGATCAGCCAAAGTTTCAATGTCGGCGCGGATAAACTTGACGTTTGTCCGCACAGATAAATGATAAATTTACATCTTCCAAGGATGGCCAAACATGTGTGCAACATTCTAACCATTGGAATTGCGGTTTCATGCATTTTTGGTCGTTTTGTGGATAACTAGAAAATGTCATAATTCACTGGAGAACCATGGACGAAATGAACATCACACCTTTTTCATCTTCACGTCCACAAAGGCTTTTTGAAGCAGTTGCTTGGAGCGAGAGCATCATTGGTCTTCTCAGTCTTCTGCAACGTAACAACATCTTCAACGAAGCAACATCCAGGTTTCCACAACTCTCAATCCAACGCACTCCACACGTTATTACAACCCCCCAGCCCCCCACCCCCCCCATCTCTATTTCCTGGGAGCTCCGGGGAACCCCCAGCCTTGAGCCAAATCACTGTGAATCAAAGGAACATTTGAACATCTACGGATGTGCTAACGCATGTTTACATGAACATAATCTATATGATTCTATATGTACATATGTGCTAACAGGCTGCTAACACGTGCATCCGCCATGTTTTACATCCGAATAATTAAATGCACACATCAATGTATGCACTAAAGGTACGTACACATATATACATTTCTTGTCGGCTTACAAGGAAAATCCGTTGAAAGTGAGATTAATTGAAATCCTTACTCATCCTTAGGTTTCTTTTTGGGTTTAAACGGAAAATCAATTGAAAGTAGATTGGCATGAATTCGAATCCTTGCTTGTCCTTAGATTCTTTTGGGCTACAAAGGAAAATGAATTGAAATCAATTTGATACGAATTAAAATAGTGCTTGGATTTATTTCAGGGCAAAAAGAGAAAAGAATTGAAAGTACTGATGCAAAGTGAAATCCTTACTTATCCCTAGATTTCTTTTAGGGCAAAAAAAGAAGAACAAATGAAAGTAGATTGATATTAGCATGACTTGAAAATCGTTACTTATCCTTAGATTTCATTTAGGTTCTAAAGGAAAATGACTTGAACATAGGTGGAAATAACTTGAAATCCTTACTTGTCATTAGATTTCATTTAAGTTATAAAGGAAAATCAATTGAAAGTAGATGCAAATGAATTGAAATCCTTAATAATCCTATTTTTTTTGATTTTAAAGGAAAATCAATTGAAAGTAGATAGGCATCAATTGAAATCCTGACTTAAGTTGATCATCCTGAGTTCCCCAGACCTGGTCTAAAAAAAAAGGAATAATAGAGTAGACCTTAATAGATGAGGGGGGGGCCTACACTAATCAGCGTCCAACATTACATAACAGTGATAAATAGCTTGGTCACAAATCCCAAGCTTTCAGCGTGTGTAGACGGAGTCCGTAAGCGTAAATACGCCGATACGCCGTTACGCCGATTGGTCGTTTTGCGCCGATACACTATTACGACGATTGTGGTGTTTAACCCTAAATGAACCCTAAACCAATCTAAATAAACACTAAAACAAACCTAAACAAACCCTGAACCAACCCTAAACCTGAGGCCAGGAGGAGGCACGAAAGCTAGCAGGACGCTACTGTTCTACCGGAGACTGCTGAACATATTATCCATATACATGTATGGCAACAGGCACCCCTATGATCTACCTTTTACTTTTGTTTGGCAAACTTTTCTACATATTTCAAATATTCTAAATATCTTAAATATTCAAAATATTTCAACTATTCCAAATTTCAGATATTTCAAATATTTCAAATATTTCCAATATTTCCAATATTTCAAATATTTCAAATATTTCAAATATTCCAAATATTTCAAACATTTTAAATATTCCAAATATTTCAAATATTTCAAATATTTCAAATATTTCAAATATTTCAAATATTTCAAATATTTCAAATATTTCAAATATTTCAAATATTTCAAATATTTCAAAAATTTCAAAAATTTCAAATATTTCAAATATTTCAAATATTTCAAATATTTCAAATATTCCAAATATTCCAAATATTCCACATATTTCAAATATTCCAAATATTTCAAATATTTCACATATTTCAAATATTTCAAATATTTCAAATATTTCAAATATTCCAAATATTTCAAATATTTCAAATATTTCAAATATTTCAAATATTCCAAATATTTCAATTTCAAATATTTCAAAAATTTCAAATATTTCAAATATTTCAAATATTTCAAATATTTCAATAATTTCAAATATTCCAAATATTCCAAATATTCCACATATTTCAAATATTCCAAATATTTCAAATATTTCACATATTTCAAATATTTCAAATATTTCAAATATTTCAAATATTCCAAATATTCCCAAATATTTCAAACATTTCAAATATTTCAAATATTCCAAATATTTCAAATATTTCAAATATTTCAAATATTTCAAATATTTCAAATATTTCAAATATTTCAAAAATTTCAAATATTTCAAATATTTCAAACATTTCAAATATTTCAAACATTTCAAATATTTCAAATATTCCAAATATTTCAAATATTTCAAATATTTCAAATATTTCAAATATTTCAAATATTTCAAATATTTCAAATATTTCAAATATTTCAAATATTCCAAATATTCCAAATATTCCACATATTTCAAATATTTCAAATATTCCAAATATTTCAATTTCAAATATTTCAAAAATTTCAAATATTTCAAATATTTCAAATATTTCAAATATTTCAAATATTTCAAATATTCCAAATATTCCAAATATTCCACATATTTCAAATATTCCAAATATTTCAAATATTTCACATATTTCAAATATTTCAAATATTTCAAATATTTCAAATATTCCAAATATTTCAAATATTTCAAATATTTCAAATATTTCAAATATTTTAAATATTTCAAATATTTCAAATATTCCAAATATTTCAAATATTTCAAATATTTCAAATGTTTCAAATATTCCAAATATTTCAAATATTTCAAATATTTCAAATATTCCAAATATTTCAAATATTCCAAATATTTCAAATATTTCAAATATTCCAAATATTTCAAATATTTCAAATTTCTCAAAGATTTCACATACTTGAAATATTACTATTTATTTGTTTTCTAATTATTGTTTTTTGCTTTTTAATTCATATTTTAACTTCAATATTTGTTATTGATTTTTTTCTTCATTAAGGTTCTTACTATTAATTACTAATATTTATTTTTTAAATTTTAATTTATTGCTATTTATTGTTTTTTAATTGTATATATATAGTTATTCATTTAAATATATATATATATATTTATTTAAATATATATATATATTTATTTATATAAATATAATATATATATATATTATATATATTTATATATATATTATATATATATATTATATATATTTATATATATATATTATTTATATGTATATATATTATTTATATGTATATATATTTCTTTTTCCTTTTATTATTACTATTCTCATTAATTTAATTTTATTTTTCAATTAGTTGTTATTGATTATTAGTTTTTTTATTTGTTGTATTTATGTTTTAGATATTTTTTTATTTTTTTATTTATATATTATATTTATATATATTTATTACTATTCTTTTTTACTCTTTTTTTAAATATATATTTTCTCATAGTAATAAATAATTCATTATTACTTGTTAATATTTTTATTTGTATTTTTAATTCATTATTTTTATCTTTATTTTTTATTTTTTCTATATGTATTTTTACTATTATTATTTTTGTTTTTTATCATGATTTTTTATTTTTTTGATTTTTATCTCCAATTTTTGAAAGTATTTTTATTATTTATTTTATTTTTTTAATGTTTGTTTTCATATATTGATTTTTATTATTTAATTTTTAAATTTATAAATGTATATCTATATTTTTAAGTTTATTATTATGTTTTTATTTTTTTTATTTTATTTTATTTTTATTTTTATATCTTTGATTTCTATGTTTATTTATATTTAAAAAAACAAAAATATATTTTATTTTCTATTTTATTTTTCTTTATTTTTTATTTTTATTTACTTTTATTTATTCTTTTTTTAAATCTATATAGATTTTTAATTTCTATTAATTATCATTTATTATTTTCAAATATTTATATCTAGTTAGTTGCATTTTTCACATGTATTTAGATCAAAGAGACATATTGAATAAATATATTGTTAGGCATAGGGGCTGCCTGTTACCTCATCTGTACGCACCCAAGTAAATACTACCGCAACCTCCTCTGAGTTTTATTTTTGTGTATTGGTTATACGTGTCAACAACCGATTGGGACATGAAAGGTATTGCAGTTTCAATCTTTAGCGTTCATAGTTTCAAACATGGGATGCTAAGTTCTTGAACAAAAACACGCACGGTCTTGCGCTGCTTTGAGGGTGGCAAGCTCACTACGCACGAGGCCATTCAGCGCCCAGCATCTCGGCGCCCAGCATATCGCAAATGGTTTGCGCATTTGAGTTTGTCTCAAAATAGGGTAGGCTTTGGCACCCGAAGATTTGGAAGAGCAAAGTTGCATCGGAAGAGTTAGTGGCTTCTAGACAAGGCCAACATATCCGGCCATGTCACAAGTTGACTGAAAAATGTTTTTGGGTTTTTGCTGACTCAGTTGCTTGCGTATGTCTGCTTTGATCGGCCATGATTTCTGAGCGACATGTGTGGCAGTTTTTCAGGCAAGGTAGTTGAACCATAGGTGCAGAGATCACTTTCAGCATGGCAGCAAAGCCGAAGCAATATGTGGAAACCATGGAAGAAGCCTACGCCTACGTGCAGCGGGAGTGGGAAAGTAGCGGCTGGACTTTGCTTGGCGCCCGTGGCTTTTGCGCTGTGCATGTGCAAAGCGTGCGGAAATCACATCCCGCCTTGCCAATTTTCATGAATGCTCTTGCTGGCTTAGTAGTGGCCTCCAATGGGGCAATGCTTCGGCTTTGGGGATCCACGATGCCACTTGCCTTGTGGGTGGTGAACATCAATTATTCTCAAACTCGGAAGTCTGGGCTGTCTGCAATTGCTGAAGTGTACGCAGCTGCTGCTGACCGACGGATGCGGAAGATGTTTCGGGAAATCTTGGAACTAAAGCAATCAGCATCTTGCCTGAATATTGCGTATAATTTCTAAATTGGTTTCAGGTGTGGATGGCTTCTCTCTTGTTGATGCGGTGCATTGCTTATGTTTCTTACGTCTTTTCAGCTTGGCTCGACTATCTTCTTGTGAATGTTTATTCCACCATATGTTTCGCTTGCTAGGCTGCAACCGTGGCGAGCCTTCCGAAGTCTGTTGCCACCATCACTGAGAATGGGCCCCAGGAAGAAACTCTTCCTGCGCCAGCGCCGGAAGTGCCCCAGCAAGCTCTCCCTCCATCTTCGTCTGCTACAACCTGTAAGCTAGGCATTTGGTCTGTCGCCTACATGGGCGGGACATTGGACAGGTGTAAAGAAAGGTGCAGTGGAGACTTTAACTTTGTGCAGAACAATCCCAAAGACTTCAAAGATGTTGGCCGCGTGCCAAGCGATGGCTCTGCAGGTGTGAAAGCCAGCATTGCTGCAGCGCCCGGCCTTCAAGGAAGAACATGGTTCAGCACACTTCTTCTGTTCGATGAAATCTATGACTTCCTCATGGAGCTTGGGATTTTGGACACGGCTGCAGTTGCTGCCAAGAAACAGAGCAGTGCAGGCGCAGACGTTTCAGGGCAGACTCCAAACGCAGGCTGGGCCAACCGCCTGCTGCAAACGGGGCTGAGCGTGCATGAGACCAAGACATGCGGTTGCTTTGGTGGATTGCATGCGCCAACTGTGAGCACAGCGCTGGCAGGCAACTTTCACCCAAATGTTGCAGTGGAGATGCTGAGAGGTATCCGTGGAGACCATGGGTGCCAAACGAAAGCGCGCTTGTTCTTCACCACAGGCAAGCCCATCCAGCCGAAAGAGCACTACGCTAGCCATGGGATCACTTCAGTGAGTGAGTGGTGCCCAGTGCCGGACATCCTCAAAGACCTCTTGCAGTTGGAGTTCCTTGGTGATCCAGTGACAGCAGCCACAAAACTCGAGCAAGAAGATTGCCTGGCGATGGGTGAAGCGCTCTTCACAGATGATGGTTTCTTTCCTCATTCGTCTGGCTGGTCATACAAGCTTCCAGGTGGCGTTGTGACCTTCTTGCGTTTCCGCAAGGCAGATGACCTTTGCCAAGCCGAATGGTGCATAGCAAACCGGGACGTCGAGGTGCCAGATGAGTTCAGCTTGGAGCTTGCAGCAGAGCGGCTCACGGAAGTTTTCAGCGCTGATCACAGAGTTCTCAAGTTTTCTTCGGATGCTCAGCAACTCTTCAAGAGCTACCAAGCCTACTTCAACATTCTCGTAGCTGAAGCTAGACGAGATGAAGACATTGGGTATGGTGCGCAAATGGGCGCTTGCCCTTGGAAGCTTGCAATCCTGAGTGCTGCCTTGATGTTGTGGGACATCAGCTGGGAGCAGCATGATAGTCCAGGGTAAAGAAGCCTTCAGGACAGTGAAATAGAGATTCCTGCGTCTGTAGTGTGCAGAGCTTTCGGTTTGTTGGAGATTTTGGAGAGCTTAGTTTCCATCTTAGCAAACAAACCGCATGGTGGTACTTCTGCATTTTCAGCAGTAGCTTCTGCAGAGGAAGCAGAGCAGAAGCAGCCCAAGCGCAGGCTACCCTGGAAGAACAGGTGAGAGGGCAAAATCCAGATAAACACTGGGAACCGCGTGCGCAGTTCACTGGCCTCTGGGACACAGAGTTCTTTCGGAGACTGCTTCAGAAAGCAGAGTTTGTGTCTGGAGAACATGTAGTGAAATCCGTAAAGGTATATGGGGTGGCCAGGCGTGACGACAAGCTGTCACGTACCTTGACCTTGAAAGATTTCCGAACCATAGCAGCGGCAGCGCCATCTACGCTGGTGTACTTCGACAATGAGAAGGATTGCTTGCGCTTTTCTTTGCCCGCTGAGCCAACCCATGACTTTGAAAGCTGCTTGCTTGCCCATGCAAATATCAGCGCTGCTGCTCTTCGAACTTTGCTCTCCACAGAGACCGGCAAGAAGAAGAGAAAAGTCAGTTGAAGATATGTTCAGCTTTCCTTGTTTTTGCAACAAGCTGCGCAAGACATATGTGCAGACAGTCTTGTGCCACTCTTTTGCAATAGCTTTTTCCTTCTTTCAGCAACAAGCTGTGCAAGACATATGTGCAGACAGTCTTGCGCCACTCTTTTGCAATAAGTTTGCCTGTGTTTTGGAAACAAGCTGTGCAAGACATATGTGCAGACAGTCTTGCGCAGCTCTTTTGCAATAAGTTTTCATGCGTTTGGAAAGAAAGCTTGCAGGACATATGTGCAGACAGTCCTGCCCAGCTGTTACGAGGATCTCAGACTGTGTACAGATGCCATGACAAACATGGACTTTTCGACCAAAGACTCGCGCTGTGCCGGCGCGCGAAGTCATACAGACTCACGGCGCGGGTTTTGAAAAATGAAGAAGTCAGTGTTAGCAGCCTGTTGCCTCAGATAAGGAGTGCTAGAGCGGCAGTGCAGTAGAGAATCGTGAGCCGTTTCTTGGTAAGATGTGTACACCCGGATCGATCTAACTAGGACTCGGTTCTTTTGGGGTTCTTCTCTGTAGCACTTTGCGCACAGGCGAGGCAATTTTTGGCAGTGCACGATAAATAGCATGCAGCCATTCAGCAAAACGACGCGCACAGTTTACAGGTTGCTTTTGAGAAGTTTTTTTTGCACAAGCAAAGCTGTAGTAGCCCGTTCTGTTTCAGCGTAGGGATGGTCGCGCGGAGACCCGGAGCCTCCTTTCCAAGCCCCAAAAGAGGAATGTTACGACTTGTGCTCAGACGACCGTCTTCAAAGAAGCGCAAGGCTGCTGAAAGGCCTCCTCGTGATTCTGTGTCTTATGTGCCCCAGGAGCAGATGACTGATAGTAAGCAGCTGGCGGAGCTTCGAGTTCAGGCTTGGTGTGCGTCTCTTTTGACATTGATGCAGCTAACAGAGCTAGCGCTTATCAGGCACTTGCTCAAGATTGGCATGCTTCAGAACTTTTCACGCTGTCCTCATTGCAAGTGTGGCAAGCTATCCCCACTTCGAAAGGACAAGGGCCGCGGCTACGTGCAACGATGTCGCGCCAAAGCCTGCCAGAAGTTTGTCTTGCCACATAGCCACCATCCAGTCTTTGTCACCAGCTGGGGAAACTCACATATCCCATTGCGTCAGCAGGTTTTCGTGCTCTTCTGCAATGTTGCCAGGGTAGACCAGGGAAAGATACATTTGATCACCGGGCTCGGGCGACGCGTCGTAGAGTCAGTGTCTGCTAGATGGCGAAAGGCTTTGGTTGCTTATGTTGAGAAAAAGCAAGAAACAATTCAACTGGGCAATGGCAGAACGTGGAGCCAGTGCGAAGTTGATGAAGTAACTTGCCGAGGCAAGCGTCAAGGTCAGAAGGTCACCTGGTTTCAGTATTGCGGCTTGCTCAGGAGAGGTGATCGGAGGACATTGGTCCTCGCAAAAATGAAAGTGAAATCAACGCACATCAAGCAAAGGGGGAAGGGCAAAGGCTCAGCAGTGAGTCCTGGGCCCATAACCAAAACCGAGTGGAGACTCATAGCTGATGCATACGTGAAAGGCAAGAAAATCTTGCTGCATTCAGACGGTGCTCGTGCATACCGCTTTTGCAAAATCCCGGGAGTCATCACTGACTCTGTGAAGCACAAGCGGCCGAAGCCAATCTACACAGCTTTGTGGTGTCATGTTTTGCCCAAAGACCAGTCGAAGGCCCACACAGACCTCAAGAAGTTGCCTGCAAGTGAAAAAGAAACAGTGTGGGTAAAGAAAGGCACTCAGCTTGTTGACAATGTCTGGCGACAGCTGAAGCTTTTGGGGCTGCCCAAAAGTACAAAGGCAGAAGACTCAATCGTACACCATCGAGTTCGAGAGTTCCAGTGGCACCATTGGAATGCCGAAGCCGATAAGTGGCGTGCAGCAGGTGAGACGCTAAGGCTTTTGTATAGATCTTTGTAGTTTGCTTGCAGGAATGCTTCGCGTGTTTCATGTGCAGATGTCAAAACACGTGAGCTGAGGCAAGCGTTGGTCGGAGTGAGCATGCTGGTGTCCATTCTGTGCAGTTACATGGCGCTTGCAGCGCTTCATCACTTAGAGCCGCTGCCGAACCTGGCGCGCACTGACAACATATAGTAGTGGCTAGTTCGGTTTAACAGCCTGCGCCCGCCCTTGGTGGAGCCCGTGCCTAACCTCAAACGGTTTGAGTTCGTTGAAACATCTACTTAATTTTTTTTCACATTCGTTAGTGGCTCCATTGGAAGGTGTGCGGCAGGTGAGACACTACGGCTTTTCTAAAGGTTGTTGTGGTTTGCGCAGGAATGCTTCACGTGTTTCATGTGCAGATGTCAAAACACGTGCTATTTTGTGCAGGTACTGAGTTACATGGCTTTTGCAGCGCTTCGTGACTTAGAGCAGCTGCGCTAAAGTTTACAGTCCGCTTTTCTTGCAAAAAGCTTTGCGATGGGCCCTCCACTGCACAAATTGCTTTGATCTTACCATGTGCTCACTTCCACAAATTCATTATTTTTTCTCACTCTTGCCTTGCATGTCTTTGCTCGCCTGCGTTGTCTCCACTTCCAGGCTTTTAGGCCTTCAATATTCTGTTTCGCATGCTTTCAATTCTTGTTTTGCTCAAGTTTCAGTTTCACACACAGACAAATTCTAAAGAAGTTGGTGCGTAGAGTGGCCTGGTTTGTTGCAGGAATGATGGCAAGGCAGCAGCTTGCCATTGCCGACATCATGGTGCCATGGGCATTGCTTCAGCAAGTTCTTCAGGTGTGGCAGTTGGAGCCTCTCCATCTCTCTCAAGTTGAGCGTCGAGCCTCCTCCACAATCGTCCTAGCCGCCCATTCCATGCGACGAAGTTCATTCGATTGGCTCCGGATCCTGTGTCAAGAGATCTTGTTTCAAACGAAGCAGGTCGAGACCAAACGTGCAATGATGACCTTGCCCTACACGAATCTCCCGGCCAGCATCATTACCGACATTCTTCGCTACTTGGTCTGTGACGAGTTCATGGTGTTGCAGTACATGAATGAGGTTGCTGTGCGAGTACAAGCTCCCAGATCTATCGTTTGCCTTCAAGAAGGCACTCGCTTCCAGTATCGTCAAGTCAGAGATGAGTTACGTCGCCGGCTTCGCCAGGAATCTGTGTTGCACAACAACATCCGAGGAATGGTTTCAGACTTGATGAGAAGGAATCTTCTCCTTGCGAGTCACATCCACATTCTTAGAAGCCGAGCCTTGCGCTACATGTAAGTAAGACCATGAGCTCTGTAGGGGTGACAGTTGCATGCAGAGCAACTGTGTACAAAGAAAATAGTGTGAGCTATTGCTAAGGGGTGGCTGTTGCGTGCAGTTGCAACAGAGCCTGGGGTTTCAGTGTTAGTTGCCAACAGCTTTTGACGTCTTCAAAAAAGACAACAAATCTTGTTTGTTGCTTTGACCGAAAAGTGTGCTAGACATTGTACAGGTTTGTCGGACACACGGACATGTGAACTCTTATTTCCAAGCGCATGTGGCGCACCGAAACGCAGAGGTGCCAAATGAATCCCGGTTTAGAGCTTGCAGTGGGGTGGTGCGCAAGTCAAGTTCAAGCATTCATTTGAAGCACTAAAATTATATAGACATCCAGAGTGAATTCAGCCGCAGTCTTTTGTCAGTGCCGTTTCACTGTTTAGCCTTCATGGTTTCAAAGACAGGGTGCTAAGTTCTTAGGCGAAAAACACGCACTGTCTCGCGCTGCTTTGAGGCTGGCAAGCTCACTACGCACGAGGCCATGCAGCGCTTAGAATGTTGCAAATGGTCGTGCGCACTTGGGCATATGTCTTTATCTATACGTAAACATGACAGGTATACATGTATACATAATACACATGACACCATATACATGGATACGTTTACTATCTACATACGTACACACAGAACATGGGCCCCACATCCTCTCAGCGGTTGCTGTTCCCGGCTGGTATCCAACCGCTATGAGTTGTGACAAACACACACATCGACAATACCACATGAAGATCCGAGTTGGATGTGGAGCTGGGGTTGGCTGGCTAGAGTAAAGTTGACGGCCTGCGCCCGCCCTTGGTGGAGCCCGTGCCTAACCTTAAATCCATTCAGCTCACGAAGATATCTACCAAGTCATCTTACGTGTTCACAGAATTAGCATTTTTTTCAGGAATGGTTGATAATGACTAGTAAGAGTTGCTTCCAGTTTCAGTTGGACGGCCTGCGCCCGCCCTTGGTGGAGCCTGTGCCTAACCAGGTTGCAACTGTGGTTCTAATCACTAGTGATTGGAACATCAAGACGATGTGATTAGCTGGTAAGTTTTAAACGCGTCAAGGCCTATCACGGAAAGCAGTTTGCTCAACACAATGATGTTATGGGTGGTCTGCAAACAGTTGTGGCCAGCTGTTTTACATAGATGTACGAAGTTATGTATTTATCTATAAATCTAACTATCAATCTTGTAAATATTTACATTATATAGTAGATCACAGAGATGCCTCTTGGCACATGTATGTACACATATATACATATTATCATATATATATATATATACACCCTCTGGTAATTTAACATAGCTGTTGAAAATGGCCCATGTGTAGTTAATTTACCTATTAGTTTGATGGTGATGTTCCAGTTCGCAAACTGTAACGGTTTACCAGAGGGTATATATAATATGTACATATTATATATATAATAATATGTATATAAGATATATATATATATTATATATATAAGATATATTATATATATATATACATATATATATGCATATATATATATTATATATTATCATATACATATTTTATACATAGACATAGACATATTAGTTCAATGTCTAACCGAATCTCCTTGGTGATGGCGATGCTCTCCAGGACATCTGCGTCCATGAAGCCATTGGACTTGGAGAGTTTGATCTTCGGCTGCGCGCTGTCTGCGACGTTGGAAGCATCCCCAAGGGATGCCCGGGGAATTCCCGGGGGGCACAAAATCCATCCACCGAAAAAATGTCCGGAAAATTTGGGAAGATCCGAATTGATGGTGGAGAGGAGAACTAAAAAAACTTTCTCTGAAAATGTCGACGTCAGCTTGGACAGAGGATGACAGAGGTGCATTCTATGCCTGCAGTATTGTGCGTCAGTCCTAGTGTTGGTCCTGTTCGGGTGCTTGATTCGATTCCGAATTTTGATCAGTGGAGCCTCCAAATCCACAGTAATTTTTGCCAATGGCTAAGTCGGCTAAGTCTCTGTCAAGAATCCCAAACCAGAAAAAATAAAATTGAGGATGATTCCTCCTACTAACCATCATTCATGGTAAGGTCCTTGTACCGTCACTGTAGTTTGCTCAAACTCCATCCCACTCTCAAAATCTGGGTGCAAAAAAAACAGCATAATTCTTGATAATTCACTAACCTGAAGAAAAGTCACTTTAGGACACCTACCCTTCCTACTAACCTAACCCATCCTTTACTGTGCGACTTCATCCCTCAAAATTCCGGCTGGTGCCCTTCACGCTGAACCCGGTTGACTATAAATATATCTACCATAAAACGTAATAAACCTAGTGATTTCAAACGCTTTCAATTTGCCTTCTTCGTTCATGTCTTGGAAGAGTCGAAAGGCCGCCGCAAACTTCTTCAGCAACTCCCGCGCGATGCGCGCGATGCGAATGGATTCGCGGTTGTGCTGCTCCACCGTCAGGTCGTTTCTCACAGCGCGGTGCCGACGGTGCCAACGGTGCTTTGCTGAACGAATTCATCAACACCAATGGGGGGGAGGCAGTTTCATTCAATGAATGAGTGTGTGTCCACAATCATACGGGGTATATGGTATATCCCAACTTATTTGGGTTTTAAATCCCTTGGTTATACCCAAACTATTGAGATTTAAGCAATCAAAATGGCTACAGTTCTCGTCGCACTCTTACTCACGTGCACTCATGGTCTCTGAGAACTGGTTTATAAACAGAATAATCCCAAGTGAACCCTGCTCTTACCTGCGATGTGAAAGCGGCTTGGAAACCTTGAAGTCAAGGTTCATCTCCCATAGTCGGACAGATACCATTTTGTGGAGGAAAAAGAAAGATCACAAAATTCCCCAACTAGAGGTTGGAAGTTAGCAAATCGAGTCGCTCCGCATTTCATGGGGCACATCTAGCTGTGATCATTTGAGCATGTACAAGACTAACGTCATGCCTAGACGCATAGACACTCTTCGATGAATGCGTGGCTAACCGCGATGTGATCTCCTGCTGCCAAGAGGCTCTTTTGCAGCCTTCATGGTGATATCAACGTAGACCTCAGGTGTTGCCCTGGTGCGGGGAAGTCCAAGGGAACCACAACAATGGCGGCACTTCGCAATCTAGAAGAATCATCTTCCACACTTCCAAAGCCATCCTTCATGTTTTCATATTTTTTTGGTGGCTTGATCTTCCATCTGAGTTTGTCTGAAAATAGAGTGCCCCAAAATTCATATCATGTTTAAATCATAGTTATGTCATGAAAAATCCTATGGCTAACCCTCTACGCCAAGTATCTCCCATCTAAATGGCTAGGGGTATACCTGCCATAAAACCCGGTCCGGGATGGTGATTTGAGTTATCCCGTTGGCTTTATAAAAAATGCATTCTACTATATCCCACCTAGCATCATATAGGATGGAAGATCTGAAAATTCTTTGGATCATATTCATATATATATAATGTTAAAGGAAGTATTCAGAATATCAATAACATGTTCATGTTAATAACTTTGCCCATAGTTTTCATAATTTTTGTGAATATGCCGATATGCCCATCCAATGAAAATAACCATCCAATGAAAAATAATGAGTATATTCCAAAAAATGGTGATTTTTACTTCCAATACTTTTGTAATGATAATCTGATATACATATATTGGAAGTTACTCCTATAAAAATTGAGAGTGTCCATTAAAACAAAAATGCTATTTTCAGGGTCAACAAGTTAATTTACCAGAGGGTAATACATGTTTGTTACCAATAGATCCAATATGTCTGCATTGGAACTTACCATCCACCCTGGGGATCTGGGGATCCTAGGGATCTGGGGATCCTTGTCTTGCTGGGTGACAGCCAGGATCACGTTGAAAATGCCCAAACTCACCAACATGAAGCTCGCGACCTCACGGCGCGGGGAAAAAAAAACACCATGCGACCTTCAAATGTCATGGAATATAGGGATTATTATTAGCATATATATATACACATATGTATATATCATTATTACTACTATTCATTACCATTATTGTTGTTATTATTTATTATTTTTCTTGTTATCATTATTACTATTGTTCTTACTATCATTCTTTATTTATATATATATATACGGATGAGAAAAATGTGAAACGATATGTGAAAATCATGGTTACCCTCTGGCAAATTCTTACAATTTACCCTGGAAAACAACCGATTTTGTGCATGGGTAAAGCATCGACAAATGGGCCGTGTTCAATAGCGAGCTGTGAAAGTACCAGACGGTAACAACCGTGAGTAAGGATATGCCTATGATATGACCATAAACAGGTTTCACCGGCAAAAATGGGCGTTAGGCAGCAAAAAAAACCAAACATGTTGTTGGTTCTTTACAGTTTTAAGGCTAAACAACAAAGGATAGGATAATTGTCAGATTTGGTGATTTATCCAACACCACAAATGAGCTATGAAGCTGATTTAGCCAACAAGCAATATGGGTCAAGGCGCTGAGTCCCAAGATGATTAGGGCCTTCAAAGCAGCCACAATCACAGGGAGTAACATCTGAAATCTTAATGATACTTGCATCCAGCAGGGTGGTGTACCACCATTCAAAGATTGTTGACCAAACCTCAGATGCCACCAATAAGGCTGAGGCGCGTAGGGGAAGACAAAAATTGGGCCGAAGGCGTCCGCCAACATGGCATGGATCGGTTGCCCACTATCATTCACACATTCCCCTGGCCGGGTCAGACATGCTTGCTGGATGCCCAATGACGCCCATGGGGTAGAGAAACAGAAGCCTAAGAGAGAGTTTATAACAGAAAGAGAGAGAGAGAGAGAGATAGATAGATATATATATATAATAATATATATATATGCATATAGAATGTGTGTTTCAGCAGTGGGTGTGTGTGTGTGTGTTCAAGTGCGTTTCTCTTCCACAGTCTGTCTTTGCAAGATCTTGAAATCTGTTTTTTGTCATTCGATTTTTCATGATTTCCACCTCAACATCACTAATCATCACTGGGCCACACGTGCTCAGCACATGTGTCTTTTTGGCACTTCCCCCACCTGTGAAGCATCGAAAACAGGTGAACATGGAATCTGGGATCGTGAGGAAATATCCTGGACGAAACCAGCAATGGATGTGGGCTCAACCGTGGAACCCTGAGTCTTTAACCTGTTGAATCCTCCTGTGGGCCACTGGGCACGTGTAATGCTCGGCACAATCGGGACTTATGCAATGGGTTTTTCCCACGGGTCAGACAAATCCAAAAAGTTGCAGTATACAGCACTGAGAACCCCCTCGAACTCTACAAACGAAACAAACTGCCCAAGGCTAAAAGAACATCCTCAATTCAAAAACGAAACAAACGCAAACAACCCATGCGGGACAAATGGCATGTTTCGTAGCCACACTGAACCGCGCAAAGTTCAAATGGAAATGGATCAAAAAAAAATATTCAGGATATGCAAGAGTACAAACCACTGAAATTTGGAGGTGTTTTTCCATGGCCCAGTTGACACAAGCGTCTTTGTAGGCCCAGGTCGATGGTTTTTTGGCTACCTCCAATGGTCATCGTGGCGAAACCACTGATCACATAGAGCACTGTAAACCTCGGTGGACGGTGCGACCACTCCGATCGAAGATGTGTTTGACCAACAAAATTCGTGTTGTTCTATCGGGTTCAACATGGCTTAACTGTTTTACCAGCAGGAAAATCCATGAAACACATATAACCGAAGGAAGTTTAGAAGTCAAACTTCCGACAGTCAAACTTCCGACAATATGGACAGATGAAAAGCAGATCAGGGTAGAGGCAGAGAGAAGAGAAAGATTAGAAGAGAGAAGATCAGAGAAGAGAAAGAGTCAGAAGAAAGAAGATGCAGATGCGCGAAAAGGTAGGAAAGTCGGGAAACACTGTGTTTTTCCAATGATTTGAAGCTCCGGAGTGTCGAAAAGTAGGCTCGCTAAAGCGGCGGGTGCAGAGCCAGCTGGCCAGATGAGAGATGAAAAATTCTACGCCGTTGTGGCGCGAAGCACATTTCCAAGTCAAAATGTACAAAACACCTCAGTGTCGCACCACTTTTGGAAGTTGAGATGTCGAAAAAGAACGGAGACAAGCACCGGAACCCCAGCCGGAACCAAGAAGAACCAGCAAATCATGATGGAACAGAACCCCTGTCCTGAGGAAAGAAAGGAGAGAGAAGAAGAAGGGAGAGAAGCACCGGAACCAAAGAAGAGAGAAGAAGAAGGGAGACAAGCACCGGAACCCCAGCCGGAACCAGGAGGAACCAGCAAATCATGATGGAACAGAATCCCTTTCCTGAGGAAAGAAAGAAAAGAGAAGAAGGGAGACAAGCACCGGAACCCCAGCCGGAGCCAGGAGGAGCCAGCAAATCATGAGGGAACAAAGGCCGTTTCTAGCAAAAATTGAGAACCCCATTCAGCTCAAAAGCTGTTTGGGGAATTAAACGAGAACCCAAGCATCGGAGATGCTTTTAGAAAAAACTTGGTTTCCGGTGAAGAGTTTCCCCTGACAACCAACCCATATGTATCTCAAGGCGCAGCAGGGTGAAGGCCAGCACCAGCGTCTTCACTCCAGCCACCAGGCCCTTCACCATCAACCGCAGATCCTCCCAGCGGATCGGATCTCGGAGGAAGCTAACAACAAATGGGAACTGAATGAGCTAGTGGGATATGATGCCCCACTAATTTCCATATAACTACGTATATTTATGTAATCATACATATATATATATTTATTTATATTTATATTTATATTTATAAGTGTGTATGTATATATATATATACAGATAGTTTATTGTATATGTAAGGTTTTTGTTTGTCAGCAATTGTCGAGATAAATGGGTACAAATCGTGATATAGCAACTGCTTACAAAGTCATTAGTAAAGGATCATCACCCTTGAGGGTGACGGTGGCAGTAGAATTCGCGCCCAGCGACAGTCACCATTCGGCGGGGCAGCTAGCACTCCACAATGGGATCTGCGGCTTTCTATCAACTCAGAATTCAACCCTACAATTATTTAAATCTTGGCAAATTTTGGCTATTCCTGGATCAATTTGGGGGAATCCACCCCAATAAATGAAGAGTGGTCACGAACATGCGATGCCCGGATGCCCATGGTTGCCCAAGTAAACCACAGTTTTACTAATCCGAGACAAATCCAGCGCCGCAATGTGCTTTCTGATCCTTGCTAACACACCGGCATGATGTGTATAACGCAGAGACCTTTGAACGAACATCAAAAACAACGGTCTGTGGGTTTGTCGGAAAACATTGACATGCCAGAAATTGTTCATATTGACCATTCTTAACACACCCAATTAAAGTATCCGCTTCGTACATCCACTGTACCACATTTCCCCGCAATTACCTAATTACATTCCAAATCTTCATGGCAACATCACTTCATTTGATGATTATACCCCATCTACTTTCTGGGAATCAAACTAGCAATAGAAAGCTCCCCATTTATAGTTCGATGATATTTCCCATTTCAATGCACATTTCTAGGGGACTTCCCAGCCATACTTGATCCACCGCCCAGTCCTTCATGGCCTTGAGTCGAAAGACCTTCACGATACGCACCAGTCGGATCAGGCGACAGAACCGTAGCAGCGAGGTGGCAAAAACATCCTCAGCGGATCTGATAATGGGGATGGTCATTTAAAAAATAAGCTTCGGTGGTATCCCCAACAGCCGCAACGTTTTATTTTTACAAATCTTTCTGAAGCGAGCTGCGAAGCCAAGCCCTGGAAACACCTCAGCGTGCTCCAAAACTTCCCAGACCTTCTCCGGAACCTTCTCTGGAACCCTGTTGAACCTGACCTGGCTCTGCACCAAAGCCTCCCGGAACCTTCTCCGGAACCTTCCCCGGACCTTCTCCGGAACCTTCTCCGGAACCCTGTTGAACCTGACCTGGCTCTGCACCAAAGCCTCCCGGAACCTTCTCCGGAACCTTCCCCGGAACCTTCTCCGGAACCTTCTCCGGAACCCTGTTGAACCTAACCTGGCTCTGCACGAAAGCCTCCCACACCTTCTCCGGAACCTTTGTTGAACCTGCTCTGCATCAAAGCCTCCCAGACCTTCTCCGGAACCTTCTCCGAAACCCTGTTGAAAGTGACCTGGCTCTGCACCAAAACCTCCCACGCCTTCTCCGGAACCTTCTCCCAAACCTTCTCCAGAACCCTGTTGAACCTGACTTGGCTTTGCACCAAGGCTTCCTGGAACCTTCTCTGGAGCCTTCTCTGGAACCTTCTCCGGAACGCTGTTGAACCTGACGAGGCTCTGCACCAAAGCCTCCCAGACCTTCTCCGGAACCTTCTCTGAAACCCTGTTGACTCTGCACCAAAACCTCCCAGGCCTTCTCCGAAACCTTCTCCGGAGCCTTCTCCAGAACCCTGTTGAACCTGACTTGGCTTACCTGACCAGGCTCTGCACCAAAGCCTCCCAGACCTTCTCCGGAACCTCGTTGAACCTGACCCGGTGCCTGCACCAGTGCACACCAACCCAATTAGCTTACACTGTTGGGGAAAAAAACTCGCTAAATTGGGAATATGGTTGACATGTCCATATTCTATCTACTTCTGCATGACTATAGTGACTATGGTCTATAGGGATTTAAGCGTTATAACTATAATGGGAATATCATGGGATATAAACTAATGGGGTACAGTGGGATATTGATAGGATATGAAAACGAGGATATACCAAGGACACAACCATAAAGCTGGGATGACAACCATAATTGGGATATTTTATGATGATATTTCATTGGCGAATTTATGGGATGTGGGATGCATAAACTGGGTTTGAAAAATTATCCATTCGCCGCTCCATGTTGTGGCCATTTACCAGCAACGTGGAGTACAGTTTTTGACGAACCCATTTTAATGAACCCATTTTGGAGGTATTTATGATATGAACCATCCGCCAAAATGATAAATTTTGGGTGAATCTGGCATGGTTTCTTACTGGGTTTGCCACATTGCAGAACCTGTTCCGACACATCAAAGCCTTGAAATACAAAGACCATGGAGTCTGGCTTTCTGCCCCTAAGGTACTAATCCTGATATGAAAAATTACCACAGCCAACACAAAAAAGTTACCACAGCATCCCACGTTTTGCGAAACCTCCGTCCGCCATTTCAAACGTCCAAGCCGAGCATCTGGCATGTCGGCACCCGCAAGTTGTATGCACACATCAGCTAAACCACTGGCAGCCAGGAGCAGATCGAAGAAATTCCAAGCAGACTCCTCCAAAGATCAGTGATCAGAGATTTAAGCAAAAAACATGTGAGATTTGAACTACAAAGTGAACATGTTTTGAACTTATATAAAATAATGTGACATTTTGAACTACAAACTTAAGATTACGGCTAAAACCTGAATGCAAAAACATAACTTGGATTGAAAGCCTGACTTTCGGTTGAATGACGTGGCCACCAAGAATTACCAACATCAATGGATCATGCAGAAAGCCAGCTCTGTTTACCCATTCCCCATCAATTGCCCCTCTCCTGGCCACAGAAGAAGGTCTTGCGACCCTGGATCACCAACATCCGCAGCAGAATCTCTGCGATCAAAAAGAACGCGAAGGCGCTTTCCACCCCCAGCCAGCCGTGCCAGTTGGCGTACTCAGGATCCGCCTGGAAGCCCACAACCACGCCGTTGGCGATGATGACAGAGGCCACCATGGGCTCCAGAAACCTGGCAGCCGATCCAGCCGAACGTGGCTGTTGAAATATGTTGAAATCAGCCAGACTCAGGTGACTTAGGATTTAAAATGAGCTGTCCGAGATCTAAAAGCATCTGAGCTGATTTATTTCACATGCCTAAGTGAGCTGTGTATCCGAGATCAGCATCTGAAATAGCCATGTGGTTCCTGTCTCTCGGAGGCCATAAAAAAAGTTGGGGTGTTTGGTCGACAGGCGCAAAAAACCTCTGAATCCTATGATGCCCAACGAAACAATCAGACTGCCGGGGCCCAACGAAAACCCCAAAGGTGGTCCCCAAATGATAGCAAAAGAATCAGCACATGCTGACATAGTGGTTGTTGGTGGTTACACCCTTTAATCTAGTTCAGTTGGTTAAATAATCTAATTGTTTAATTTCCCCTCTAGGGCAAAATATCTAGACCATTGGCCTACCAAACCTTTCGGTTGACCCTTTATATTTGGGCACAAGTCACACGCCAATGCTCCTGTCTTCCTTAGCTGCTTTTGGGATGCTTCTGTCTGTGGCACGGGTGCAAATAGTGTAACCCCCAGAGGTTTGATTTATTCCATGAGTGTAATATGCATGTGCGTGTATCATATATATATTTATATATATATATATGTATGTGTATATATACTGTATATATACAGTATAAGTGTATTACATAGATGCATGTTCCTCCATAGATATACACGCGGAAGATACAATCCGGTTTTGGTCAGTATCCAATTGGGACCCGTAAGATGAGGAGACGCTGCCCCGAAGAACGCCGAAACCACAGCCCTTGTTCCTTTTGGATGGTCCACAGCTGATAAGACAAGTGTCCAAAGCCTAAGAATTGTCCCTTCTTTGAAGCATAATCCAGATGGCTATGGATCAAATCCCTCCAGGTTTGGATCTTCATCGCCAAAAGCTGGAAAAACATAGGAAAAATCGACCAAATTCGTAGGTTTTGACCCATCCTCAAATTTCACTTGGATTCCGCCATTCTGCAGCATTCTGCAGCAAAACCCCCATCAAATCGTGAAAAGCCAGTGGTTTTCATCCCCAGAACACATGAGCCCCGTGATCTCAGCCACTGGTGGGGCTGCCAAATCGTTGATGCGCACCTCACACGCTAAGTGGGGAGTGTCAAGGATACCAGTAAAAATGGGTGCTGTGACGTGTGTAGCCCAAAAAAATGGGCTGATATACGGCCTTCACATCTGAAAATCGATTCCCAACTGCCCAAGTTCAGTTTCCAAAAACTCATGGCACCACGGGCGATCAAAGAGAATATCAATAACTCAATAACTATATGATTTTCTATGTTCAATCAAGTTCAATCTGTCTGAGATTGGATCCATAACCATCGGTTTCATAACTAGTTTCCGACAAAATACTGTCTGAAACAGTCCCGTTGCAGTGTCAAGACACCTGTCCAGCAAACACATGGGGATGGGTCAAAACCTATTACCATAGTTGGGCGAATAACCATCCATTAACCAGCCATGTTGATGCTTACCAATGTACCATGGTTTTGACCCATAACCATGTGGAGGGTTTCCTACCCCTGAATCCATTTCAATAGATTTTCCCGTATCAACCAACTATTTGGGGGTCCCCCATTCATGGAAACCCCCATGTGTGTGTGTAATCCTCTTGAAATGTCATCATTTATGGGGTCCGTCCCAATCACCCACAGATTGCCGTTAAACGTTCCAAGGCTCTGAGCTATCTGCTTTCTACTGCCATGTATCCATTGCCTTTGCTTATGTCTGCTCTTTACACATGCACTATATACATAAAAATAAATGTGTTGAATATGTTTGTAGAATATACAATATACAGTATATATATATACAATATGTCTACAATATCAATTACATGTGGAGGTGTCCTTAAAAAAAGGGTTAGATAGCCTTAGATCATCCTTTCGCCAAGCAGCAAAGGTCAACTCTGCGACCAAGCGATTGGTGTCCTTAGATGAGAATGATCCCCAATGGGATGAAACTAAAACTGATGAAGTCTATATGGGTCAATTTGATATGTCAAAACAAAAAAAAACTTCAAATATGAAATATGGTGAATGTGAACTGAAGTCTGACGATATGGGAATGTTACTTTGAGATGGTCATCCTAGTTAGGGTTAAAGAACATAGGTAGTATGTCCTCTACAGGTGGTTTTCCCATCTGGTAAGTCGGATGAATCGCGCCCTACTTGATGATATGATCCCAAGAAAGGACGTGGGGACAGTCATCAGTTGACAAACTCTACGGCGCTACGGCGAAGGGATCATCCTGCACGGCACATCCCCTAGACTGATTGATGCTTTCGCCCCACTCAAACAGCGGAATTGGAAAATTAATAATTCATTATCCCATGTGTAGGAAAAGTAAGTAGCAAACTTCTTACCCTACAATTAAGCCCCACTGGGTTTAAGTCCTCCACATTATTTGAAGTCTATCCATCTATGTTATCATCTGGTTATTTAACATAGCCATGGAAAATCACCATGCTACTAATAGGTAAACCATCTATTTCTATGGGCAATGGCTTCCATGGCTATGTTAAACCACCAGAGGGTAATGTTTTTTCTAATTTTTTTTCCAGCCAAATTTTGGCAAAAAAAATCGATGCAGCTGAGTGTCCCCAGCCAGTAAGATCTCCTTCATAGCCTCAGCTTCTGGTGGTTTTGCCCAGTTTTCACGGGGATTCCTGCTGTTCTTTTAGCGTTTCTCGATGTTTATTGGGGATAGTCTAATTAGTCCATTCTGCAAACCTAAAACGATCCGATGTATTGTGGGATGGATCAAGATCCTGAGGGTCTCAGCCTTGAATTGCTTCATGTATCGCGGCCCGAAGATTCTCCTGAACGGCAGAAGAAAGTCAGTGCAGGGCGAGCAAAGCCCACAAGAGATCGATTGGTAAAAAATATGGTTGTCATTGGGGATCATCATCTGTTACAGAGTATGGGGTCCAGACTTCATTGCTGCAGGATTTCTCCATCAACTGCTAAAAGGTGTCAGAATGTCGTAGCAGTCATGAGGTGTTCAACCGTGTCGAGCAAACAAACGAGTTGCGTGCATCTTGGCATATCAAAAAGAAGCAGCCAGAGTTAGATATGCATAGCCAGAGTCAAGAGTCCAGACTGAACTCCCAAATTCAGGGCTGGCCACCTCCCAAATGGGTGAATCTCGAATCTTTCAAGCAGCACTCGGGTTACATGCCTCCGAAAACTCAACATGAACCCAAAAATTTGTCCATGCCCAAAAAAAATGTCGTGTGTTCTTTTTCCCGAGAGCGTCTGAGCGCAGGGTTCTTCCAATAGGGTCTGTAAAAACATCTTCTCATCTTCACACCTTCTCATCTTCACATCTTCTCATCCTCCCATCTTCTTCTCATCTTCTCATCCTCCCATCTTCTTCTCATCTTCTCATCTTCACATCTTCTCACATCTTCTCACATCTTCTCATCTTCACATCTTCTCATCCTCCCATCTTCTCCTCATCTTCTCATCTTCACATCTTCTCACATCTTCTCACATCTTCTCACATCTTCACATCCTCTCATCTTCACATCCTCTCATCTTCACATCTTCTCATCTTCACATCCTCCTCCTTCACATCCTCTCATCTTCACATCCTCTCATCTTCACATCCTCTCGTCTTCACATCCTCTCATCTTCACATCCTCTCATCTTCACTTCTTCTCATCTTCACATCCTCCTCTCATCTTCACATCTTCTCATCTTCACATCTTCTCATCTTCACACCTTCTCATCTTCACATCTTCTCATCCTCCCATCTTCTTCTCATCTTCTCATCTTCACATCTTCTCACATCTTCTCACATCTTCTCATCTTCACATCTTCTCATCCTCCCATCTTCTCCTCATCTTCTCATCTTCACATCTTCTCACATCTTCTCACATCTTCTCACATCTTCACATCCTCACATCTTCACATCTTCTCCTCTTGCCCTCTTGCCCTCTTGCCCTCTTGCTCTCTCCTTCTTTTCTATTTCTCTTCTGAAGGCGGGGGCAGGGGCAGTGCAAACGAGACGGCACGAAACGCAACCCTTTCGCACGAAATGAGGGTCAATCGGCAAAAACTGAGGTAAAATTGCGATTTTACTTGTGCTGGAGCAACCCTTTCGCACGAAATGAGGGTCGATCGGCAAAAACTGACGTAAAATTGCGATTTTACTTGTCCTGGAGCAACCCTTTCGCACGAAATGAGGGTCGAGCGTCAAAAACTGAGGTAAAATTGCGATTTTACTTGTCCCGGAGCAACCCTTTCGCACGAAATGAAGGTCGATCGTCAAAAACTGATGTAAAATTGCGATTTTACGTGTGCCGGAGCAACCCTTTCGCACGAAATGAAGGTCGATCGGCAAAAACTGAGGTAAAATTGCGATTTTACGTGTGCTGGAGCAACCCTTTCGCACGAAATGATGGTCGATCGGCAAAAACTGATGTAAAATTGCGATTTTACGTGTGCTGGAGCAACCCTTTCGCACGAAATGAGGGTCGATCGGCAAAAACTGAGGTAAAATTGCGATTTTACTTGTCCTGGAGCAACCCTTTCGCAGGAAAAGGGATTTGTGTGTACGAGCGTTTCTGTGTAAAGATGTTTGTGTGTAAAAGTGTTTGTGTGTACAAGTGCATCTGTGTAGAAGTCTTGTGTGTAAAACCTTCTGTGTGCAAAAGTCTTTGTGTGTAAACGGGTTTGTGTGTACGAGCGGTTCTGTGTAAAGATGTTTGTGTGTAAAAGTGATTGTATGTAAAATTGCATCTGTTTAAACGTGTTTGTGTGTAAAAGCTTCTGTGTGTAAAAGTGTTTGTGTGTAAACGTGTTTGTGTGTCGGAGTGTTTCGGTGTAAAGATGTTTGCGTGTACAAGTGTTTGTGTGTAGAAGTGCATCTGTGTAGAAGTGTCTGTGTGTAAAAGCTTTTGTGTGTAAAAGTGTCTCTGTGTAAAAGGGTTTGTGTGTAAGAGTGTTTCTGTGTAAAGATGTTTGTGTGTACAAGTGTTTGTGTGTAGAAGTGCATCTGTGTAGAAGTGTCTGTGTGTAAAAGCTTTTGTGTTTCTAAAATTGCGTCTCCATACTAACAAGAGAAGACCCTGCTCCTCTACGCTCTCGGGCCATCCGTCGTCTAGTTTTTTAAGAAAAATGAGTTTTTTTGCGGTCTTTAGAGTCTTTAGATCCATGTAACTATATAGATCCCCCATGGTTGGTCGCTGTTTCGCGCGGCTCCTGTGGACCTCGCACTCTTTCGCAAGGAAAATTTCCATCAACGGCATGGCGGGTACCAGGTTGAAGTGCTTGCTCACCCCCGCGAATGGGTCGAAAGTCTGCTGCATGGAAGCCTTGTTTGCTGAAACTGTAGGGGTGAAGTCAATAAAAACCGAGGATAAAACCGATGGAAGCGACAAGATCCGGGGATGCAAACATATGAACTGCCATGCTTGGGGGGATAGACATCCATAGATCCCATCGATTTTTAGGTGTGAACAGAAAGGGATTCCATTTGGAGATACAAACAACAAAAATGAACAAAATGTAGAAGTAAATTTATCAACAGAATAGGAACGGAACCACCAGAATCTTGGATAACCCTCCAATCATTATCATCAACCAACCCTAATTTCTAGATTCTCTATGATATGTATCAGAATTCCAGCCATGTTTATCCATGTTTTACGGATTTTAAGTCCCCATTCCCACGTGAGAACGGGAAGCCCATAGCGTTCTGCCGAGGGTCGCTCCGATGCAGGTTGCGACTGGTCAGTGAACAGGGCCAGTGCCACACGGGCTTGCCACTCACCACCGGCACCGCTGGCTGGTGATGGTTGGAAAAGAAGAACATATTCGCGGAATTGACACCTCACTGGGTGAATCAAGAGATTCTTAATATCGAAAAATATGGTAAAGTATTGCAAAATATGGCAAAATATGGCAAAATAGGGCTGCCTTTTTGGGTTCATCAAGAGGCAAACTATTGGTAAAATCTGGTATATGGGGGATGCTGGCTGGATTATTTGTAGGTTGAGGTACTGAACTCCTCGTTGAGACCTGCGTCCAGGTTGACATGCACAGTACAGGGCGAGGGGGCTGTGCATGCAGTACCTAACATTTTGATTCCTTGCAGGATATCTTTGCGTAATTGCTACCTGGTATGGTTTCTTGCTGGATATACTTTTTGCATTTATTGACTCGGTATGCGGTACCGTACCGAGCCGCTGCGGCATGGCATTGCCAGGAGGATTATGATAGATTCTCGCCCCGCTTCGTTGCTCACTCAAAAAAAATGGATGCTCCCAACACCCCAGGCCGGAAAATTTCCCCTCCCACTACCTATGTGGCAGGAAACCCTCCATGGGGATGTCAACCAGTTTGCTCTGTATAAATCTGCCCTCCAAATGTGGTACCATTTAGCTGGTGACCCTCTGGTAAACGTTTACAAAAACTATGGAAAATCACCAGTTTGGGAAAATCAACTATAAATGGCCATTTTCGATAGCAAACTGTTAGTCAGGTGGAGATGAGGGGATGCCCATTTTCGTTGGGACTTTGGCAAGTGCGAAAAATTTTCACCTCGCCATCACCAAAAAATCTGCCATACTTTCGTGTCTTCCCAAACTTGAGGAAAAACCACACACTTTGTGTGCAAATCATCAAATCATCATTTTGGGTCCCAACAAACTTGCATCGCTAGAGTAGCTAGCTGCTAGTCCATTCAGGGATCCACCAAGGCCACCAATGTCTTCCCAACGGTGAATAGATCACCGCTGCCAAGTGGCTTAAGCGTCGGGGTTTTTCATAGACCACACCCTCCTCACGCTCAAAGTCCAGCTGGATGTAATCCGCCAAAAGATTCACCAAAGAATTCATATCTTCCACAGTGTAAGCTGTAAGTCCCAGTGCCACGCCTCACCGAAAAAATCCTAATGAGGTGAACTATTGATGATAAGATATGATAAGTAGCCAACAAATCCCAAGGCTTTTGGGAATACATTGGGCTCAAGGATTTTTGGTATCATGCTCTCCCACGGTGTCTTTTCTGGATGGGCATTTAGACAACATTTCCACTGGTGAATCATCAGCCACAAGTTGGGAAACAAATCCTCCATTGACAGGCCGTTTTGTGGGATCCTGGTTACCGGAGTCGTGGTCGTTCATGGACTATGAGAATGTCCAATTAATATTGGCAATGTATGAGAATTAACCCCACTCTTCATCGACCAACAGTGGAAAAAGTCATCATGTTGAATCAGTTTAATCCATAATTCATCATAATTCCCCAAAGGTCCAAAGGATAAGTTCATATAAGTTCAACAGCCCTTGATCATCCAAATCCTCCATAATTCCCCAAAATCATGTTAATTCATATAAGTTCATAACTCCCGAAATTCAACACAAGGCTTTTGTCACAGCCGCAGCTCAACCACGTCCAAGGATGTCCAAGGTACAGGCATCGTGCAAGCCCTTGCCACTCACCAGCGAATCATTCAAAGCTCCCAGCCGCAATCGCAAGCGACTGCGGATCTTTTGTCCTTCTTCCTCACTGCCCTGGCGTTGGTTCCAGCGGTTTTATGACTTCGTGAAATGTCGTGGGCAACCAAAAAATCCGGAGTTCACCAACCAACCTCTGCCAGCAACAAAAATGCGAGTGACCTTGGCCATGAATCAAAAAAAATCCCCATATTTGTCACGCATGATGAGGAGTTCTCATGTGGCAACCTATCAACCTCTGGTGAAATTAGATGTTATGGAGGTTTCTTAAAATGGTGGTACCCCCAGATTACCATTTTAATGGGATGTTCCCTTATAAACCATCCAGCTAGTGGGCACCCCCATCACTGTGGAACCCCCCTTATTGCCATCTGGAAATATCACAGGCCTTGCCTGGAAGGCTGGCACCAACTCAGGATGTCTGTGCCGTGGAGTGTCTATCTCTTCCTGCTCCATGCGCAGGACCTGGGACTGCATGCTATCTGCCTTGGAGTTGGGATCCAGAGGGCCATTTCAAAAAAAAAACTGATGGTAGATCATGGTAGATGTTTAAAACAATCTTCTGATGGTAGATTATGATAGATGATGGTAGATCATCCTAATCTTCTGATGGTAGATGATTGTAGATTCCTAAATTCTCGATGAACCAATGGGAAAATAAAGTTTATCTCCAGCTCCAAGTTGCTGGAGAGATTGTGGGCGCCAAAGACTGTCGCCTTGAAGGAGATGGGGAATCCTTCGGTGAATCCTTCACCATCGGAGTGAGATGGGCGAAATTGGTGGGAGACGTGCTCGTCCCCAGCAGCGAATCGCAGCCAGCTTGGATTTCCGGAAAGGCATCCAGCAGTTTCCACCGCAAATTGTGGAGAGATTCATCCACCACCCGCGCAAAGTTTTGCTTGTCCATGGTGAAAATTCCCTTCCAAATGGCTACGGAAAGTGCACGAATCACTATAATTGTTTGACGTGAAAAGAGTATAAATGGTGAAACTGTTTTGCCAAATCGGAAACGCGCTGAACATCACTGAACATGGGCGTGCATCAAAGAAATAGATATTAACAATATTAATAACATGTTATCTCATGTGTTGGGAATCCATCATGATTGCTAAACTCGGACATGCATTTTGCCCCGGAATCTGTTCTGTGGGCCTGGGGTGCTTTCAGCTCAAGTCAGTGAAACAACATCTGTGGCGCTAAAGCGATCCGCATTCCTGCGGTCAAATCACTCTCCAAGAAAAGATACCCTTCGTTCAAGGCATGAATTTTAGGACCTCTTTATCGGAGACTAAGGCTAGCACGCTTAAATCTATGGATAAACCATGATAAACCCTACACTTGTCAGTCGGGAGAGAAACTGCCTGGATTTGACCACGTGGATGTGGGTGCGACAGCATCAATGACCCTTGAGGAGTCAGAAGCGCCTAGGAATGTCATGGGGGAAGCTCCCGGGAGGTTTGAGATTGCCGTAGGAATCGATATTTTCTGGCAATGCTGATGATTTCCATGGCGCCTCAAGATATCTTTTGAGTATGTTGACAGATTTCTGTCTGGGAACCATCGTGCTATTCAGGCAATGAATTTGCATGCCAGTTGTGGCATGTGCAGGCCATTTGGTAGAATTATGTATCCATGAGGTCAATTGTCATAATGCATTTCCGTCTAAGACAACAGATCTCAAAACGGGGTGCCATGGTAATTGCAGAGTAACATCAGTAACCTTTGGACCACGAAGGGATCGCTCAAGGCCCCGGCGGTGTCGTCGGAAGAGTGAGCACCTGGTTGGTGGGAATATCAATGGACCCACAATTGGCTAGTGTCAAACTGTCCAGCTTTTGCTTGGGGGTCAATAGTTCTGAGCCATACCCTTTGGGTAGACCTGGTTCAGTACAAGAAATCAAAAGCCAAGTGTGGTGCCTACCCACTTTGGCGCGCCAACCCAAGCAGGTATACCGGTATACCTCCTTTTTCTTTTTGAAACATATCTTCCAAAGCATATGAATGTCACAAAATGGAATAAGCTTCGGTGGTATCCTCAACAGCAGCAGAAAATTATTTTCATATGTTTTTTTCATCCGAAATTTGCTGGAACTTGACCGAAAAGCTACGCCGACACACTCCCGGAATCGCACCGGAACCTACTTGAAGCCTCGTTGAACCTGGCCGTGGTCAGCATGGTGTTTGTAATTTCTCCATTCGCCAAAACTCACAACTCTGTGCTTTGTAAATTGATGTAAAATGTGCGTTTGCATTCGCACATGTCCAAATTCTGCATTCCCAACTCTGCGAACCCCTGGGTTCGGCCAAAAAGGATTTGAATCAATTTATGTACGTTAGTGTCTATCTAATACCTGTCAAGAAGGAATAGCCCGACACAGCATGGCATAAACATGGCATGGTACCTCCATTTTGGAGGATGAGATATGGACCGAAGGGTTGCGTCAAAACGCAACAAAGATGGATGGATGCCCTACCCTGAAATTCAACGGCTCGAACTGTGGAACCAAGAAATTCCAGACACGCCCAACTCTTCCTGAATGAGGAAGCATCTTTTTCTATCAGCGAACCGTCGCCCTTTGTACCAAGCGCTCAAAAAAGCGTTTTTTGTGCCTCTGAGACTTCTTTGAAGGTCTCAGTAGTCTTCTAGCTATCTCCAATACATGAGGATCGTCCCAGAACGCCTTGGCTGCGGAGGTGTCTGCTTCTTTCTTAGATGCACGCTTCTCTCCTTCGAATTCTATTTTCTCGCAAAGATCGGGTAGGAGGAGACGTGCCTTCTCAGTCAGCTCCGAAAGTTGCCCTCCGCATCTGTCACCGTATGGAATTCTCGCAGTTCAGCAGCAACCTCGTTCTTGTCAGACAAGCGCCTCAGTGCAAGCGCCCCTGGCTGGAGACATCTTCTTTTCCTACTGCTGTCCTACTCTTGACAACTGATTTCATGCTCGTGTGATGGCTGCATTGTTTGTGACTTGGTCAATCACTCGAAGAAGTCCTTGAGCGCCCGCTTGAATTCCTCACCATACTTCGACAAATTGAAGCCCCAATGTCTCCGTCGTGTTGGAGAGTGGAAGGTTTGAATTGCGGCGAGACGGGAAATCCTTGGCCGGGAAAAAAACTTAAGGGAAGAAAACCCTGGAAACATGCAACTGGAAGAGAGCTGAGATCAAAAGAGAAAGCATGACAAAAAGATTTAATAAAATGACACTATTTTCAAAGAAAAAACAACCAAAGTAAATCAATTCTTTCCACATACTATGTTCTGCCGTTCGCCTAATTTCCTAGTAGACATCCACAAATCATTCGCTGGCAGCTTGTGGTGCCAATGAATGCTGAGGAGCGCACAAAAACTCCTCAGCGGGTAATGGCTCTGCAAGCTGAACTCTTGCTGCTGCTCCGTCTTGGGATCCTGCTTCGTCTCCGGCTCCGGCTTCGTCTCCGGCTCCTCCTGCCTTGGCTCCGGCGTTGGCTCCTCCTCCTCTTTCTTTTTCGGCTGTGGTTTCTGCTTCTCCTAGTTCGTCTCCGGGAACTGGAGGATGTTGTTCGCGAATTGCGACTGCTGCCATTGTGACTCCAGCGACTGCTTGGACTGCTTGCCCGGTCCAGTTTCATAACATATTGTTTGTTGTTTTTAGATCTATATCTGCACTGCAGCAACTTCGAGCCATGACAATTAACAGAACCAGCATCAAGATATCCAGCAGCACACAACTTGCAAAATGTCACAACAGCATCTGCAAATCAGAAAATGCACATGTGCCTGTTCTTCTGATTGTTCTTAGTACATTGGTTTAAAAGACCACTTTGCAGGCTCCCATGGTTGGCCTGTCACCTTGCCTAGGCCCTCACCTAATGATGTCCTCAAAGAGGGACAGCAATGATTCCCAGAACTTCAGCAGCTGACTTGAAGGTGACCTCTGATATCCGGCCTGCGTCTTGAAGGTGACCAGCAAACCCAGCGCAACTGACGTCAGAGCGAAGCCTTCTACCTGGGAAACAGCCAGCATCCAGTGTCCAAATCTGAAAGCCAAACATTATGTGACAAATCTGCATCCCAAATCGAATTATGATCTCGTCAATCCTACTTCCTCAAAGGTTTTATCCCCTATAATTCATGAACCCAATATGTTGATGTTTCTTGACCCTGGTTGCTTACATGTGGTACCCTCCGAAAACCTATCCATTTAAAACTGATGCCATACAGTTATACACATATGTAGAATTGTGATCCGCCGTCTTATATGGACGCCACTTCCCCCTCTCATCACTGGACACTCCCAACATCCACAGCAGCAAGTTCTATGCGATCTGCTCATCTTAGCTGCATTCGAGGATGCCTGGCTGGAAAAATATATAATATAATATATATATAATATAATATATATATATATAATATATTATAATATTTATATATAATATATAATATATATAATATATATATATAATTTATAATATATAATATAATATATATGTATATAATATACATAATATATATAATATATAATATAATATATATATATATTATATAATATATATATATAATATATATATATAATATATAATATATATATATATATAATATATATATATATAATATATAATATATATAATATATAATATATAATATATATAATATATATATAATATATAATATATATAATATATAATATATATAATATATATATAATATATAATATATATAATATATATAATATATATAATATATATAATATATATAATATATATAATATATATAATACATATAATATATATAATATATAATATATATAATATATAATATATATATAATATATATAATATATAATATATATATATATAATATATATAATACATATATATATAATATATAATATATATAATATATATAATATATATAATATATATAATATATATAATATATATAATATATATAATATATATAATACATATAATATATATTATATATATAATATATATAATATATATAATATATGTAATATATATAATATATATAATATATATATAATATATAATATATATATAATATATATATATATAATATATAATATAATATATATATATATAATATATTATAAATATAATATATATATATATATTATTATTATTACTAATCGTAGTAGTATTGGTAGTAGTAGTTTTGTTACTATTAGAAAATGAAAAAGTTTTCCTCAAAGATTGGAATGTAGCCTTGATTTGACCAACAAACATGGGAACTTTATCCTGAACTGCGTCCGCAGTTCCAGAACCTTCCAGAACCTCACTTGGGAACCAAATCGAAATCTTCCTGACTATAAGCGTACGCTGTTGGGGAAAATCATTGTTCAAACCTAGGGACCGTTTTTACTCTTGGACAGTATCTCAGAATGGTTTCTGCTTTTGCCTTTCTTTCTTGCTTTACCTTACTCGGGTCAAAAAATCCACGAAGGTTCGGCAAATACACGCTTTGGCAGACTTCTTCCAAGCAAAAGAATCAAAGGGTTCAAAACTAGCAACCATTGTCACTTTCAACAGTGTGGCAGAATGGCTCTGGTTTTGCTGTCAATCTGATTACCTCTGTTTTTTCCATCCTCTTTTGTTGATTTTACCTGTAGTCACTGTAGTCAAAAATCAAACACATCAAAAATGAACGATTGGGGCCAAAGCTCTCCCAGAAGAAGTGTCCCGTCAAAAAAACTACGGGCCGTTTTAAATTTGTTCTTGAGCATCGCAGCATTGTACCAGAACCATTTCCGTTCGTCCTGGTGATTTGTTTTCTCCAATTGCCTTCTCTTCATCTGAGCCCTAATGAGCACATCCGGAATAGAGGGTTTGGCAGAGTTCTCCCAGAAAAAGAAGGAATCGGGGAACTCAAACCTGAGGATCGAAAACTAGACACTGTTTTCACTCCTGAACAGTCTGCCAGAATGGATTTTTTTTCACTGTCCTGCTTTGTTCTTTATCGTCCCTTATCTTCACTATCTTTAGTAATAATGTCACAAATACAAGATTTGAAAAGGAATTCGCCGGACAAATGAAACTTCCAGGAAACAATGGGAGGCACCACCACCAAAGGGGCAAACACCATGATCAAAATTGGAAGATATGTGGAATGACAGCTCCAGATTTTGAAACAAGTGCTTCTTCATTTCTTCAAAATGACAGCACTGGATGCGAAATCGAAGATCAAAAATGATCGAAGATTTTCCCAAACCTTTTTGCTTAGTGGCCTAGTTTCATACCTTCAACAGCGAGGCCTCTGTAAATTCAATTTACAACCACATCTATGGCAGGCCACCTGGATCTCAACTTGCTCAGGGCTCGTGGAGTTACATCACTGTGATGACTGGGCCAAAAGCAACTGGGACTTTGGGACTAAGAACTGTGATGGAACATGATGAAAAAAATATCGCTTGGATATGATTATGATGATGATGATGATGATGAGGGAGGAGGATGAGGCTGAGGAGGAGGAGGAGGAGGAGGAGCAGGATGGAACCGAAATGTATAACAAGTACTCCCAAACAGTCACCCACCAAGCTGAAACCTGCCATGTGAAGATTGCATCTTGGGCAGAACAGGCCCAGCCCACGGGTGATGAAGTTATACCTCAACATCCTTAAGTCAACCAAGGAATATCCCAAATGTCATCCATAACATTAGGGGCAAATCAACGCAGGTTGAGTGACAGTTTCATGTCCAGCTTGTCCATACGAGGACTCCCTTAAGATGGGTATTGATTCGCTATTCCGAGTAGATGACACTCGGCAAGAACCAGGCGACATAGCATTGTTATTTCTACTAATTTGGGCAGTGTTCCCCACGTTCCTGAACTGGTCATGGTCCTAGATTCCAAACAACAATCCTGTCTACCAACTGTTTTATATACAATTCAGATTCATGTCACGTGATATCTTTGGAAAATTCATATGCTGATGAACAGCACAGCTACTGATGCAAATGGTATAAGGTCGTGCACTCTCCTGTACCCTGATGTTGGCACCTGATGTTGATCCCGAAACAAACGCATGGTCCGCTGCCTCCCTCTGCTGCTGTGCTGGCAGATGCATTGGATGTATGGTGATGTTTGTATCATACAGATGGAAAGTGACTCGAAAGCAAACTTGGTTGTCCATGACAAGAGCACTAGAGTTCATGTTCTTTGTCATTCAAAAAAAACTGCGCACTTGATTATGTTGTGCCCACATGTGTTCGTCTTGTGTTGTTCCTTGCATGTCTTGTAGCCATCTGGTGGCATTGACATGTTGGTGGAATGGCAAAAAGTGTTACATCACAACCAATTCGGGCAGCCAAACAAAATGTTTCTCTGCTTCTCCATCCTCCGGACAACACCTGGAGGAATATCAATGTCCTGGAATCGATACGGACTCCGCATGGGATGTTCAAGCTTCATGCTTAGATCCAAGTCAAACATCAAAAAAGCGGGCAAAACAAAGCAGCGCTGAGCGGACCGTTTAGCAACAGGCTCAATGGTCGTATTCACGAAAAAAATGCCTGAAAAGTGTGTGCAAGATCGACTGAATGCAAACACTGTGACACTTGAACATGTCTGGAATGTCTTGATTGCCCTTTTTTTCTGCAGGCTCTTTCCCTTCGTGATTGGTGGTTTCACGGAAATGGGCAAGCAGACACAATTGACTCAAAAGGCCTGCAGAGCGCACGCTTGTGGTCAGCGCCACTTGATAAAATATTGCAAGGCAATCTCTCATCCAGAGGCTCTAAACCTTCGGATGATGCTGGAAAACTATTGCCTTGCGAGGCACAACAGTGCTGAGTTTTCTACCCTGCAGCCTTCGCTGTGAGGTACAGCCAGGTATGCTGAAAGATTGCAAGTGCAGTGACAGTAAATCAATTTACTTTCCGCATGGGACTTGGACATCACACTTTGTTTGGACTAAATTTGGGGTGACTGTCTATGTTGTGCTTTATCGTTCGGTTCCCTTCCTTGCACATCATTGATTTTGCCATACCCCGCACATGCCAAACCTATCGAACAAAGCCTGTCTACTAAGAAAGGACGGATGCCCGGATCAGTTCGTAGGCGGAATTGATTTTGATGAAGTCCTCTCGGTTTCCACCTTTGTCAGGATGTGCTTTCTTTGCAAGAGTGAGGTAGGCATGGCGAACTTCATGAGGCGATGCTCCTTGCTTCAACTCCAGGGTCGCGTAAGCTTTCTCCAAAGCCCTGTCTCGGTCTGTGCCAAACAGGCTCTGGAATAAGGACTTCACTCCCATGGTTGTGAGTCCACTTGCAAGTACTCCACCTGCAAGACCTGCAAAAATCAGACCCCACGGACCAGCCCCAGCGCACAAAGCTACGGCTCCAGCACCACCTGCAAATCCTGCAGCAGCCGCACCAAAGGAACTTGCCAAGTTCTCGGCACATTTGTAGCCATCGATCTCCCCCTTCCAGTACATCCGAATGTTGGAATAGAGCTCGTATCCGAGCATGCCCACTGTAAGTACCGTGCCTGCTCTGGAAGCCCATGTGCATACAGTTGACACGTTCTGCATTCTCTGCGCCAACTGCCGACTGGCAAGAGATGCAATCTCAGCACCATCAGCGACTATGGAAAGGAAGATTGATCCAAAAATGTCTCCTGAGGCCGCGGTTGCCACACTGCCGACCCTATACACTACCGCAACAAACGTGTGGCGGGCAGCTACATTGATAGCAGCAGCCGACAACCTGATTGCAGCTGAACCAGCTGCTGTGGCAGCGGGAACCAGGCTTGTTTGTGCGCTCTTCATCCCTTGCAACATGGCACTGCTGACAATTCCTGCATCTTCAAGACGCTGAATCTCTGTGCCCCAGCGATCTCTACACTCATTCAACATCATCTCCGCCTCGTCTGGTGTAAGGACTTCCCCCTCCTCCATTGGCATGTCTGTCACGCGAAGTGCTTTCTTGACATAAGCGCGTAACGCTGCAGGCACATCTTTGACCTTGGCCAAGCCTGAGTAGTGCTCTTCGTGCATCACCAAAAAGAAAGTGAATTCTCCGTATGTTTCTGGGTCGCTTGTCTCAAACAGCTCCTTCACCTTGGCGTCAATCTCATTTTTGACTTCATCAGTTGTCATGTCGCGCTTGGAAGCCTAGCAGCTGGCTCACCTTGAACACACAAATGCCTGATCGGCAGCAGCATGACCTTGAGCACTACAAATCAATCGTGTGACAGTCATGTGTCTGATGCAACAGTGCGAGTCTTGCGAGGCACCTTTTTCCGCCAGTTTTCCCTTTCGTGTTGGTGGTTTCACGGAAATGGGCAAGCAAACGCAATTGACTCAAAAGGTCTGCAAACTGGACACTTGTAGTCGGCGCCACTTGATACACTATTGCAAGGCAATCTCTCGTCCGGAGGCTCTAAACCTTCGGACGATGCTGGAAAACCATTGCCTTGTGAGGCACAACAGTGCTGAGTTTTCTACCTGCAGTTTTCGGTGTGATGAGGTACGATAAAAGAAATTGATTTCATCATCAAGGCATGTTAGATTACAATGAAAACATGCAAGTTTCTCTCAATATTTGGGCAGTTTCAAAAGAAAGCATGGTTTCATTGTTGATTCCACTTCTGTTTTCAATACTTAAATACTGATTTTCGTACCAAAGCCCATAGGCAGGAAAACTCAGCTACACAGCTACTCAATTGCCACCAGCCCGCATGGCTCTCAAGCTTGAAGCCTAGATGCCCTGATCAGCTCGTACGCGCAATTGACCAGCACGAATCGTTCGTGGTTTCCCGACGCTTTGTCTGGATGACATTCACGGGCCAATTTCAAGTACTGCTTCCGAATCTGCGTGGGGGAAGCATTCTCAAACAAACTCAAGGTAGAGTAGGCATTGCGCAGGGCACGTTCCCTGCTGGTGCCAAAGAATTGTACGAAAAGTTTACGGGTTGCCTTCTTGGCCATCTCGGAGCCGATCAGTGCACCAACCAATGCACCAAAACCAACACCCCATGGACCAGCACCGACCATAATGGATGCACCACTCCATGCACCCACAGCTGCCCCAACTGCTGAAGCCAAGCTCGTCATGAGTTTGCCTGCCAGTTCGTAGGAATCGATCTTTTGAATCCAGTACTGACGGATGTGTCCGTAACATTCATAACCAAAGAAACCCACAGTGAGAACCGCACCACCGTTCATGAGCCAGTTGCTCCTGTTCAGAGCAAGGACCGGAGGTGTTTGAATGGTGCTAGGGATCCAGACCCCTGCGATTTTCTCTGTGGCTGTGTGCAAGATCTGCATGGTGTCTGATCCTGCTTCGGCTGCACGTTGCGCAAACTGCTGGCCGGTGAAGAATGCTGATGCTCCTGCACCTTGAACGAATATTTGGACATGGGGAGGAAGGTCCGGAATGAAGACCCAAGGCTCTTCCGATTCAACAATTTCTGTGCCTATGAACTCCCGGTATTCGGCCCGCATGCTCTCTGCCTGGTCATGAAGGATTTCCTCGTCGGGTCTTGAAGCAGGTTCACTGCTTGGTTTCACACCAATGAGTTTGCACAAAAAGGCTCTCATGGCGGGAGGAGATGTCTTCAAACCACGAAAGGCTTCAAGATACTTCGGCTCTGACCTGAGCACTTGCAAAGCTTTCTCCACAGCGATTTCATCATTGGGAAACATGTCAAAAAGGATCTGCGACAGGTCATTCATGTCCTGCATCGCACTTCAAAGGTTTGGAAAAATCACTACCTTGAGAATTCGGGATGGCTCTGGTCAGGTCCAAAGGAAAACTGTCGAACTGATATGCCAAAAATGTCCAACTAATTTTGTATACAGTGGGGTGCCGTTAGTGGTTCACCACTAACGCGACAGGAAGGAGAAGAGTGTAAGACCAAAGCACAAATATTGTATCTAATGTGGGCAGCGCAAACCCATGACCACTCCACCAGCTCGAAACGCTTCAAATGTTCAGTGTGTCGCACACGTCATGTTTCAGCCGCCACCGTTTTTTCTGCCCAAACCAAGACACCATAGGACACCACAAAATGATAACAGGAACACAACCACTCCAAATGCAGGTTGGCACCAAATAAAGTTCTGACCAACCGGACACAATTGTTTACCTTCCTTGTGTGGCGTCAAGTTATGGAAATGCACAGGACATGTGAGCAAAGTGAAAAAAACACATATAAGCCAAGTCAGGAAAATGATTCCAATCAAACACCATGACATCCGCAAACGGAAAAAAAAACAGATGTTAAAATCATGAAAAACATACTCCCCCAAGAGAATTTCAAATAATACATCACAGATCATGCAACAATCGAAAACAATGTTGGTCCCGAGATGAAATGACGTGACGATGTCAAATTTGAACGTTGTTTGCTGTTTGTTGTTCCCTCCGACGGGGTGTTCACGCGCAGACACACTGCTGAATGTGCATTTTGTATTGTTTTTTACAGTGTTTTCTGCTTCTCGACAATGCTGCCCTGGGGGGGGGAGGGGGGGGGCAGGAACAACTGTTTCTTCGAATGATGTTTTCTGCCTTTGTCCATTTGCACTGGTTTTTACAGTGTTTTTCGCGTTTTCGCACTCTTGTTTTTTTGCAGTGTTTTCAGGCTTCATGACGTCGCTGATGCTACGCCACGCTGGGGTGGGGGGGGATGTTAACGTTCCATGTAACTTGCTCACGTTGTTGATGCTACGCCACGCTGGGGTGGGGGGGGATGTTAACGTTCCATGTAACTTGCTCACGTTGTTGATGCTACGCCACGCTGGGGTGGGGGGGGATGTTAACGTTCCATGTAACTTGCTCACGTTGTTGATGCTACGCCACGCTGGTGGGGGGGGATGTTAACGTTCCATGTAACTTGCTCACGTTGTTGGTGCTACGCCACGCTGGGGTGGGGGGGGATGTTAACGTTCCATGTAACTTGCTCACGTTGTTGATGCTACGCCACGCTGGGGTGGGGGGGATGTTAACGTTCCATGTAACTTGCTCACGTTGTTGATGCTACGCCACGCTGGGGTGGGGGGGGATGTTAACGTTCCATGCAACTTGCTCACGTTGTTGATGCTTCGCCACGCTGGGGTGGGGGATGTTAACGTTCCATGTAACTTGCTCACGTTGTTGATGCTACGCCACGCTGGGGTGGGGGGGGATGTTAACGTTCCATGTAACTTGCTCACGTTGTTGATGCTTCGCCACGCTGGGGTGGGGGGGATGTTAACTTTCCATGTAACTTGCTCACGTTGTTGATGCTATGCCACGCTGGAGTGGGGGGATGTTAACGTTCCATGTAACTTGCTCACGTTGTTGATGCTTCGCCACGCTGGGGTGGGGGGGGATGTTAACGTTCCATGTAACTTGCTCACGTTGTTGATGCTTCGCCACGCTGAGGTGGGGGGGATGTTAACGTTCCATGTAACTTGCTCATGTTGTTGATGCTTCGACACGCTGGGGTGGGGGGGGATGTTAACGTTCCATGTAACTTGCTCACGTTGTTGACTCAGCAAAGATGACAAACCAAGTCGGCCGCGCGTGAACAGGCCGTCCGACCGTTGTTGTTTGCATTGTTGTGTTTTATTATGTTATCTAGAAAGTTAGACACAACAACAGGAGCGTACCTTTGTCAGTTGTGCCCTTGGAAGTGTGTTCTGTATATATCCGTTTTCCCGCTTTTGGAGAACAAATTGCTATTGAATGTTGGATGCAACGCCTCCAATCAATGCGACTCTCATGCCCAATCAAACAAAATGATGCTGATCATGCCACACGTACAAAAGTGTGGTTTGTCCGTACAGCCTGAATGTCGTTGAAAGATGTTTTCAAAAATGCGATGCACATGTTGTTTTTTGTGCCCTTGAGGTTTTTCGTGCCCAGGAACAAAACTGAGTTGGACAAGACCTGCGAATCAAAGCCTCGGTTGTTTTTTTTTCAAATCCTAACCAAATCATAGCATGCAACAAATCATCTCAGAAACCACAGCCCGACTCTGCCCAGCAGCATTTTAACTACCAGGGTCATGCTCAAATGTTCAAAGTTCATACAAGTGGCAATGTGGAATCAAGACCCAAATTTCACGTTCATGGCCATAAATGTCCCACAAGCAACCAACCAAGTATGCTATGCAGCAATGTTCACCAATATCATGTTCTGATTGTTTTGTTTGATGCAAAAGCGTCTCGGAAATACACTTCTTTATTTAACATACAGCAAACAGCCGCACCGACCACCAAAACAAATACTGGCCTGCCACACATATCAAACCCTTAAACACCAACACTATATATATAGTCCACACCGTATTCATAAACAGACACTAAGGGATACGTCGTCGCAAGGTTTTTCAAACGCCTTCGTTGTTGCCACCGAAAGATGAATGTCGTATACAAAAATTCACGATCGTCAAACATAAAAAAACAAATCGGCCACGACAAAACATCAGTGAACATGTACTGCACAACGATTCAAAATCACGCAATCTCCGAATGTGATCTGCATGTTGCCGGACCTCCCCGTTCTCGGACGGTGGGGGTAGGTTAAAAAATTTAATTGAGTGGATGTAATCCTCCTCAAGCTAACAAAGTGGATGTTATCCTCCTTTGTCTGAAGTTGGTGAAGGTTTCGGGTTGGGTGCGCAGCAGGGTGGGTTTGAAAATTCACCGACCATGGGGCTAACGCGCAAAACTTGAAACCAAAATGCCAACACAACATAGAATTCAGTACACGCACAAAGAGGCAAATGCCAGATACTGAAATCTATTTGTACAGCATTCAAGTTTTGGTTTCCGAAGACCCATGAAAGTACTCTTGACTAAATTCACCAGACACAAACCGCAAGAAGATCCATGGGTCACTGAAAAACCCCAGAAAAAAGGTTTGAGTAAAAGTGTTGCAGTTTGACCAGTTTGTTTTTGGTTGTTGCGGCAGGGGGCTTTGGTATCATTGAACGAAGGGTTCAAACCAAAGCCCAAGAAGCTGTATGTTAAATAAAGGTTTATCCTTTTTCGTTCCTCAACGGAGGGCACCCTTATTTAACATACAGCAAACAGCCGCACCGACCACCAAAACAAATACTGGCCTGCCACACATATCAAACCCTTAAACACCAACACTATATATATAGTCCACACCGTATTCATAAACAGACACTAAGGG